CAACATATTCGCAAGCGATTCAGATGCATGCAATGTTATTAAGCCATATTCGTAGTGAACAACAGCACCCATAATTGTCCAAGCCGATTTATACCGCTAACGCTCAGTCCACAAGGTGAATAGACAGTGCTTAAATACCTGGCGCAGTGGAAAACAGCTTAATCGTTGGCTAGAGCTTGGATTACATAACATGATTCCAAGATAGCTCTGCCAGAGCGTATATATACTGAAGAAACTAAATTTGGTGACGAGAATACGGAGGAGATCCTTATCCTTACTTGCGTAAATCCGACATGCAGTACAGTCGCCTGCAAATGCGTAATTTGTCGTCATTTCGAGCGAGTTCTTCATGCGTATGGTGCTACATCGGAGCAACTTGATTCTTCGTCGAGAATGAACGGCATCGTACTGACATTGTCAAGGCAAGAATACGCCAATTTTACCGGGAGCTTCTGGTCTGGAGGCATAGAATTGAGGAGCCCAACAATCATTGATGAAAAACCAGGGAGAAGAAGGAAAGTCATCACCATATTACACGACATTGTCCACTGTAGAGACGGCCGTGGCGTACAGTACAAATAACTAGCTAGGGAATTTGTATACTGTACTACCCAGCACACCCACAGACGACGAGCTCACCGTGTTTCAGGCTGTAGAGCGCAAGAAGTGTGAGAGATTCGAGACACAGGCTAAGCATCCAAAGGGATGCCACTTCGGTTCTCCGAGTCGACAAGAGAACTGTCAAAGAGGTAAATGGGGTAGATCCGAAAATCTGTAGATTTCCCAAATGAACTTGGCTACCAAATGAATTGTCGGTCCGGTGAAGATCGGCTTCTTGAGAATCCTGTGCGGGTTTCCAGGGGTGATGTGTGAGAGAGGGAGGTTCGGAAATAGCCGGATCAGGTGGACGAAGGCCTTAGACCGTGCCACAACGACCGCGTTGTTACCCACACACACCAGCAATGCATGCTCAGGTGTCTCGACATCATTTAGGTAAAAGCAACACAAAGAGTACTAGTTATTAAATGGTTGTACCGAATTTGATTTGCGGCCACGAACACGACCAATCAGTTATCACACGTGACTGACGCGTGTCCTAACTGACACGCGTCGCGCGACGCGTTCCCAACCCCTTGATGCCAAGTTCCTCCATAGTTCCAGCACACTCTTGCAGCCACAAGTATGTCCCTCGCTCACTTGGAAGGTCCTATATGGCTGCATAAGGAAGGAAGAGCTCTGTGCATACCGATGACCAGTTCAGTAGTACTTAGTTGTGCTGGAAAGGCTAGGGGAAGGCCCCTCAATTGCTTACCTTCAGTCTGCATCTGGTATTTACATTACGATTCAACCCCATAAAACGTGATAGTTCGAAAATCAGAGCATGTGGCCGTGATGAGTTGCGATTATAAATTTGAGTTTTCAAATCCCAACCTGCTCCTGTCAGCACAGAAAATGGAACACCCAGTCGAAGGCCAAGAAGGTCCACGGAGTATATAAAGGATATAGATGGATGATTTTCTCCAATCATTACTCTTCTCTTTCATAAATCCATTAATTACGCATGTGGGCAATTGTAAGCCGTCAAGACATGGCCATCCTGGTTTATTATCGTTGTCTGTTGAAAGTCTGCACCAATTAAATCATGAGTTATTCTTCTCATTTCGAAGGATAGAATACTCACTCACCTATTGTTGGTATTTCCTTGGGTAGATCGATAGAAAACACGATAGACGTCATACACGGAGTAACGTCAACACATTGATATTAGCGTCTACTAGTAACCAAAGGAAGGCTACCGGTAATGGTACACCCTAAAACAGCCATCAATAAGTCGAATTTCTCCCATTATTTCTCTATTTCATTCACGGATTGGCCGGTTCCGAGTGCCAGTTAAGATCAGTTCTTGAAATGCGAGCATTCCTGGTTTTCAAGGCTCGGTAGCATGCCGTTTAGAGAAATGGTACGTCTTGTTTCTTGATTACCAGGCCACCCCTGACTTGATGAATCGTTATCCATGATTTAGGCTCGTCACTCGGTACCACAGAAGTAATAGCGGACGGGAATTAGCTTGTACTGGTTAGGAGGGAGCAGAAAAGCGCTCGAGATCGAAATAAAACGATTGTAATGAAAGCTTGATATGTAGATTTGAAGCTACGAGCATCCACAAATCTGTATGTAGTAGTTATGGCAATAAAATCTGGTTTCCTGCATCGAGAGGACAAAGAGTCCGAACTCTTTTGCACGTATTCAGAAATAAACTGGAACTCACTTTCAAATCCACTCCGAATTTTGTGCCAAATTTTGATATACGCAAGGGACCTCCCTTCAAAATCGGTATACAATCATCGAATCCTATTAGATTATCTCTATTAAATGATGTACACATCGAGAATTGGTTGAATACTCACGAGAAGAAGAAACCATCGAGCTACACCCAATTCCTCAAACGATCAAGAGTCACCGGTATACGAGGCCGAGTAGAAGATCTCGAGTTCGAATTGATGTATCTAAATGGACATCATTGGTAGAGCCCATTGCCCTTGATCATGTTTCTCCGGGACTCTAGACTGAGAACGAATATAATCACGTTAGAAAGTAAGGAAACCACAAATATGAATTTAGAACCGTTCGCTTATCCAAATATCCACAACATCGGCTAATGATTGACAGGTAGCACCCTGAATTTGCAGCCTGCCGAATTCCAGAGGTTTGCTGAACATTCGAGAGGTCGTCACATTGCGTACGAGTGAGAGAATGGCTTGACGAGTGAGGGAAGAGATGGTTGATTCGGAGGGATGTACCTGGACCACGTAAGACTCCAGTTCCGGACCGCTCTGTGACGCGTCCTTATCTTGCACTACCACTATCACCATCGCCTCCTACCCCAATCCTGTACTACCTTGCTTTCCTTTCTTCCGTGTTTCAAACGGCTGGATTTGTGTTACGTATGAACGAGCATCTACTTCTTTTTCTGATCGTGATCCCGCTAAATCCACTAGACACCTGTATCCTGCCATTGAAGCGGCGTGTAATGTGCTAACTTTGACTGTTCATATCCTCGTTCGTGTCCGAAAGTTCTGTCTTCCTTTCCTTACGGTTGCTTTCAGGATTCTCCGTTACTTTGAGTTGTCATAGCAGTGATACGGCCTGTTCGAGTTCCTACCTCCTCAAGACTGGGTATGACGTCGGTTTTAGTGGATGCTGAAGGTTCTTTATGGAGAGCGTGCCTCGTGCCACGATGCTGTGGCGTCAGCCCTTAATTTTGATTCCCGTTCGACTCGTCTTCCGCTCTTCTTGGAATGGGACGTGGATGGTTTGTCATCCTCTCTCCTGATAATCTTAGACTGGTACTGATTACTCTTCAACTCTTATGAATACTGCTACTCGTCGCTGTCGGTGATCTTTGCACCGATTCTCACCAACACAACGAACTGGCATGAAACGTATACACACCGATGCCACAGAAACAGCACCATCATTCTTCGGCATATCTATAGGTTCGACATCCAGAAAATCTGAAGAACAGGGATAACGATACTCGTCTAAGTTGAGCATATATCAAATATCTGGTTATTCCAATTTTGAGGTACCTCTGTTGTGGGAATGCGAAGAGCGTAAGGGAACTACAATGGAACGAGTATACCATAAGGCCAAGAATGTCGATGGGCTCAACGGGTGTTGCGGAAGGTGGTGGAATTCGGAATGGTGCACAACGCAGTTCTGGAATTTACGGGTTGTCTTGTGTAGGAGGAGGGATCGGATACATATGACGGATTACAACTGGTTCGTGTTTTGAATTTTGTGGGAAATAGCGCAAAGCTTTTCGCTCGTTCCCGAGTGTGGATTTCCTTTTAGAGGTTGATATTGATGACCCTGCACAGACTCGTGAATTACGCTATGAGTGATATTGAGTCGTTCCTGCTCAGGTAACTGATGGATTATCTATAGTTGACTTGTTTTATTCTACATGAGGTCCGTTTCCATGCACTGAAGCGCACTGCCAATCACATTCACTGGGTTCAGAGAAAACACGGCATCGATAATTCAATAACATGTTCAAAGCTACCGACTTTGGCTTGGTTGTAATGTATTTACGGTTTGGACAATCAGAACCCGCATCCGATTACTGTGGAGATGACAGTCTTCCTCCGCCTTGTATGATAATACCAACGTTCAAAAATGAATGAGAAGAACCTTCAAAGTTTTTTTTTTTTTACCAACGATCAGTGGATAGTGGATGTTGCGAAATTGGGTACGTTCGAGTATTCCTGTCACCATATTGGAATTACTCAGACGTCCGTGTAGTTATTCTCATACCCGTCAGGTTTGATATTCTATTTCTGTCAGGAAATTTTGAATATAAAAGCAGAGGCGAAATCTGCTCTGAATCCTATCTCCCCATCCCTTCCCACCCATCTTCCTCGTCTCTGTTTTCCACTTACTCACTCATCGTCTGCCGGCCCGGCGGGATATTGGCATGTCCAAGTCCCGTGCTCAGTGATGCGTTCGTTGTTTCGTGACTTTTGTCACGCTGCCAGCATTTACTCGTACCACCACGTTTGGAAGGTATGTCCTTTCCTGACCATCTTCACCTGCCGTTCATTTACCCTTATGTTTGGTTGCTTTATTCTTTGCTATGAGACCCGTTCCTTACGAGTAACAAAGGTAAAGTGCACCGAAAATTTAAGTCAATGAGCCTGGCTAATGATGGCTTTGTAGGCTCTTTTTAGTCTGTGGTAGCTACACCGTGTTCAAAAGTCGAGGTCTGTTTAACTGATGCTCCACAGACGTCGACTCTAGCTCAAGAAGGAGAGTCGAGCATCTATAATGGCAATTTTCTTATTAATGCTATCGCATTGATAACTAAGCTCAAGAAGGAGAGTCGGGCATCCATAACGGCAGTTTTTTTATTGCCTCCTTGCATTCGTCAAGCTACGATCTTGGCACGTTCATTAATGCTATCGCATTGATAAATATTAACATGTAGTGATAGCCTGAACATGCCTTCCTTCCCCTGGACCCTAGACCGCGTACGACGATGACGAGACGGCTTAGAGGGTGTTTACGAAGGCGAGTCATACTATCTTTCCTTTATGGAATCCTCTTTTGAAACGACGAACGCAGGATATCGTGCCACTCCTTTTCAAGGATTTCTCCTTGTAGTGTGGAGGTGTACGGGTGTGGAGTGGTGTCAGATGGGATTACCCTGTGGGTCTGGAGACGAGGATACAGATTGTATTTTCCGGGTACGTCCCCAATGCTTCCTGGAGCTTGAGGCGATCCTCATTTTGGTTATAGGGTGGACGACTATGCCAAAGATCTATATCGAGGAACCGGTCAACGTACCCGTCACGTATCGAGGGATCCTCATACCGTTGTGAGTACTACATCAGTATTTCCCGGCCCCGTCAATGCTAACCCTGTTCGAGCTAGTTCAACGTCCCTCCCTCAATCCGAACGTGCGCCATGGAGAGCAATACGAACCGTTGCTTGTTTGCTGGACCCCTACCCCGAAAGTCGACCGAGGTAACATGGATTGTACTCCTATATTTCGTGTACATGGTGAGTCCTTTCTGTCTGTATTAGTCAATGCTCTGTGCTTAGTCTACTAACTTGCAGGCCTTCCCTATTCCCCGCCGGAACTCGAACACAACACACATCCGCAGCTCCCTCCATGCAAACATCGGGGATGTCCTTTAAGAGGGAGATTATACAGCTGATGGGGGCCTCGGTGTGGGGATGGCGACGAAGATGAGGATATGACGCCATGGAGGATCCGCGGTGGCGGACGGTGTTAGGGAAGGCGTTTGGGATGATGTCATGGGGGGGGGGAGTGTGGGTATGATGGTGACGCTGAGGAGAGGACGATGGGGATTCTTTTGCGGGGTGGAAAGGATAAGCGGGGATGAAGGTAGTCATCATGTAATAGTACCAGTCAAGTCTATGTGCCCAATCCAGACTCTCCTGTTATCTTTAACACGTTCCATATGCTTCGCGTCTCCCCAGGGGTATGCCAAGCCCGAGCCTGCAATAAAGAAGCTTCTTCTCGATCAAAGAAGCCATTTTTATGTCTCACTGTGATTCCCACCCTCGCTTCTTTTCCCTTTCCGCGATGGAAAACATCACCTACGATGCGTGTTCGTCCTCCATTTCTCCTCTCCTCTCTCCAAGCTAAGGTGATGTGATGTATAGCAGGAAAGGAAGGGTGGGGGACGGAGAGGGTTATGTATAGACCGCATAATACGACGTATGTTGTGCTTGGAGGTGAGTTCTCGCATTTGGGTTTTGGTATAGTCGATCTGATGGTGGTGCAGTTGTGTTTCTGTGGTTTGGATGGTTTGGGTTCAACGGCGGGAGTGCGCTTAGTGCTAACCTCCGAGCTGCACATGCCTGTATCGTGACGAACTTGGCTGCGAGCGTAGGTGGCCTCACTTGGATGCTGTGGGACTACCGCCTTGAGCGAAAATAGTCTGTCATTGGGTTCTGCTCTGGTGCTATCACCGGTTTAGTCGCTATCACACCCGCTTGTGGGTTCGTTGGAGCGCGTAAGTCAACCCTTCCCCCTCTCCCACTTGGCACTTACACCCCACACCTAGCCGCGGCCGTCCTCTTCGGCGTCCTCGCCGGTATATGCTGCAACTTTGCCACCCAACTCAAGTACACATTCAGGTACGATGACACCCTCGGTATCTGGGCGTCCCATGGGATCGAAGGCGTACTTGGGAACCTCTTCACCGGGCATCCTTTGATGGGATCGCGGTGATACCTGGGGGTTGGATAGACAGGAATTACGTCCAGTTGGGGTACCAGCTTGCGGATAGTGTTACGGGTGTGCCGTATACGTTCGTGATGACTAGTCTTATATTGTGGGTTATGCATTGGATCCCGGGGTAGGGGAGGAGGAGGAGGAGGAGGTGAGGGGATTGGATGAGTGGGATATGGGAGAGCTTGCTTATGATTATGCTGGGTTTGAGAGGGGGTGTGATACTGATGGTGGGAGTGGGAGTTTGGGGGAGAAGGGGGTTGAGGTGCGTGCGGTGCCGGCATAGTAGTGTGGGGTTTCGAGTATAGTTATTCCTTCCGTTTGGACTTTAGATTTCCTTATAGAATATTGCATCGTAGAATATGAATGCAGCTCCAATATTAATTATTAACCTTGCACGTAACTTGCGCAACTGAGGAACCATAATCAAGCTTTAGCTTTACGAACTCAACAGAAAAGAATCCTACCCATCCTCCTCACTATCATACCCAATACCCGCTCCCAAATCACCTTCCCCAACATCCTTGGCGCCATATTCTCATCTCCCCCCATCAGCTGTATTATGTCTCTCCTCCCCGGAAGATGTGGAGCTGTGGAAGTCGCACATCTCGAATTCGATCTTGTGAAGTTCGTAGGGTAGTAAACGTGGAAGTGGTATCCAAGAACGTGTGAGACAGGGAGGGAGGCATACATCAATATCGACGTGCATCAGAACTGCGTCTGGGCCTTTGAAAACGACCGACCGCAATGCGAGGTCAATTATTCCTTGTCGTGCAGTTCTCATCCATGCGCTCATCTCTTGCTCCCCCAAATCCATTCTTCTAAGGAACGCCCATATCTCTTCGTGCACATCGAAAAGAGTTGCACACACACACGAGCCATCCACCAGTCAGAGGTTATTACGAGGTGAGCGGAAGCGATGACCTTGAAATAAACGTTGTTCCCCCATAAGTCGCACCAGCTCTTTGCTCCTTCGCCAAGTAGTATGTCTTTCGTATATCTCAACGTCTGCCTGTATCAAACTAATCTGCACAGTAACGCCGAACGGACCCCATGAAATATCTCTACGTGAAATTTCCCTTGGAAAAGGAAGGGGAACGAAGGTTGTAATTGTTCGTTTCTGCAGGTGTTTATCCCATCGCTTTGGGGAACGTGGCCTTGGACTGTATTCGATGCGCAGGGAAACGGTATGGGAATGGCTAGAGTGGTTGGGTTCATCCCATTCCTGTTTTCACTGAACAGGCTGGATGTCTGGATTCTCATCGCATACTTGTGAGTACATCCTTCGGGTTCTACTTCTAACGTGATATTGATGAACTTCTCTTGTCCGGCTGTGTGGAAAGTTAGCTGAAAGCCGAGTCTTGGCGAGAAGTTGGGTGCTTAATGTGATTTATACGGTGCCAATATTTCAAGGAGAGACCTTGTGAATATCACCAATGCATCCTGTGTCTTTATGATTGATGTTCTTCCCGTCCATCCTAGTTCAGGTTCTTGATTTATAGAAAGCCGCATTGATTCGAGAAAGCACAAAAGAATCTTGCCTATCCACAACCCACGACCGCCTCACGACCTCCTCCTTCAGCATAGTCAACCACCGACACCATTTTGTCGTCATCCTCCTCCTCCTCCTTTCCTAGCCCGGTAGATATTCGTCTCTGATATCACCATGGAAGATATTTGCTATCAAATTCGGTATCGGTGTCGGCATATAGGTAGGAAGGAGTCATGATCCTCCCTCGCGGGAAATGATGATGTGGTAGTTGAGATGAACACCCGAGCTGAGAGGAAGGAATGAGAAGGAGATGCACATTGATATCGACGCCGGACGCGTTGTTATTAAAGAACGGAAAGAGGTCCTTGTACATGAGAACTGCATTTGAACCAGGCCGGCGGTTTCACAAAGAGAACTAGTAGGAAAGGTCTTGGCGGACACTACTCATTGGGTACAGGAAAGACTCACCAAGTACACGAAATACGGGGTACCATCCACGTTACCTCTGTCGATTCTCGGGATATGGTTCCGGGGATCAAACAGCAGTTTGTCTTGCGCTGTAAGACGCGTTTTTGGCTGGAATATGAGAAATCAGACGCGGAGATGAGTTCACATCAGCATCGTACAGGTCGGCGTTCGTCTGGAATATTTTAGTACAGCTTTGGGAAGGACCTCCGGGAACTTTCTCGCCCTGTGAATATGGACCTTTTAGTACATCGATGATCGAGGTGATGGAGCGGGTAATGAGGTCAATTAGAAATGTGTTCCACCGGATAAAGGTATCGCGTTGAAGTTTGGAGGACTCCGAGCATGGAATATGTGAGGGTCTTTTAATGTGTTTCATGGAAAGGATATGATGTTGGTGTTGGTGTTGGTACCGGCACAAGGTCCCAATAAGGAACGGCCGGGTCCACAGCCCAAACATGGCAAGCCATGCGCTGTGGTCTTTGACGAAGGTTACGGCCCGATGGACAGATTGAAAGTTCGCAGGATCACATGCTCGTTCATTCTGTGACGTTGACAGACGTTCGTCGTTGACTCATGCTACTTATTTTGATTTTACCAATCTTCGTGTGATTACGCATCGACTGGTAGGCTCCCGCTGACAGGATGGCAGTTGTTCATTGGCGACTGTTTGTACTTGGAATGAAGACTGTTTGTCTCCGGTCATTAAAACCTCGGTTATCCCATCGATAAGAGGAACGCGGACGTCTCATCCGTTCGAGGCACAGGTCATTACAGTAAGTACTCAATGGGCCTCGAGATTTGGGGAAATACAAATGGCTAGCTAGGGAGAAATCGCCGGCCCCCAGGCTCCAGACGCATGCTAGATTTATTTTTCAGGAAGCTGACTAGCAGCGGTCGTTCGCAAAGCTGACAATCAGCACATACGGAGGAATCGAGCGCTATCCCTCCGTCGATTTCTTTGTACTTATAAGTCTTCGGTATTCTCATGATATGAAGGTGGCTAATGTTAATAGTTCCGGAACAGAGAGATCCTTGAGGTACAGTATCCCTTTTAGCCGTTTCCCTTATCCTTGCAGTTTGTTCTCATGAGTCTTGAGCGTGATATTATCAGCAGCACGCATATCCGCATTAGCTCTAAATGACTGGTAGGTTTTCTTGAGCATATCTGTCCTTGTACATGAATTAACTCATTCACGATCGTACCAGATTGACAACTGCAATTGAAGTTCTGCGGGTATCCGCTCTGCATACACATTGTACTAGGTTTAACTACTCCTTTCTGAGACCTGATCATTCACCTGACATTCCTTCCGAGGATAGCGCTAAAATTAGTGCATTCTCCCGTTGAAGTCGCATTGAGGATTTCAAAGCTCCTAAAAGTGCGGCACTAACATCCGTCATGAGAAGAATTACTAGTCAAGACATTCTTCAGAGCTCGCTTGACTGGAAGTGCGTACAACTGAACGATTTCTTCGTTCTCCAACCGACCTCAGCCATGCCTTGGCGGAGAAGGCGAAAGTACGGGTATTATTTTTGACATACGGAACTTGACATTGATATTTATGGAACAGACGCCCGGTTTCTAACCGGCATTTTCTTTGACACCTTGACTGGTTATGTATCTAAATTCATTCTAGTCAAGGAACGCCTCTTTCTGAAGAAATTACCGAGTTCATTTTCGCATGTACCTCATTGTCACGATGATTTCATAGAACGGCCTCCAAACGATATTTAAGAAAGAGGGGAACTGCATCGATCGTCAGTCAAGTATACTCTCGACTTCATAGTATGCTCACTTCTTTCATTGCCCTCGCCCTTGCCCTCTCTACCTTCGCCAGTCCTTACAAGAGAGATGCTGGTCTTAGCGTCTCCTTGTCTGGACCAGCGTCCGATGTCACCAGTATCGATGATCTCAAGTTCACGGCGACTGTAGCCAACACTGGCTCAGAGTCGGTGAAGATCTTGAAGTACGGGACGATTTTTGATGACATGCTTCCAACCCAATCTTTCACTGTCACCAAGGATGGAGAAACCGTCGACTTCACTGGGATCAAGGTGGCTTTCCACCATATACTGTCTCCTATGCCCCCGATTCACATATTTCCTGCAGATTTCGGTTTCTTTGAAGGACACTAATGACTCTACCTTTGCGGTCATTCCTCCTGGACAATCGGTTACTGCGGAGCATGATGGTAAGTAGTACATTTCCTATCTATCGATTTTTGCTAATCCTATATTCTCGCTACAAAGTATCGGCGCTGTTTGACTTTGCTTCGGCTGGCCCAGGAACATTCACGTTCACGCCTGTGACAGTCCTTCTCTATCACTAGTCCAGAAGCTAGAGTCACCGATGCGGCGAGCCTTGATCATGTTTCGGTATCGTCTAGCTCTGTTGATGTGAACGTCTCTGGCGACTTGGCGAAGAGGGATCTTTTTCCTGTCCCTGAATACGCGCGCAGTTGATGTCTGCACCAACAGTAACACAGCGTTCTGGATCGATGAAGGGTCGGTCTATGTGCTCCTCATTTCTGGCCTTCACTTCTCTCACACATGCTTCAGCTATACAGAGGCGAAAGCATTAGCTTCTGCAGCGTCCTCTTATATTGCAGCGAACGGTACTAATTCTCTCTATAATTCTTACTTCGGCACTACGCCGACAGACACGGTTCGCGCGGTATTTGATAGAATCGCAAACGAATCATCTAACACAAGGACGTATGCCATTTCCATCTATCTTCTTTTTCAACCTCTCAAATTTCTGCAGAATGGACTGCACGGATCCACTCCTTCTTTGTTCTCAGCAAGGTCTTGTTGCCTATACTGCCCAACCCAGTACGAATGTACGTATTTCCATCATGGGCATGTAACTGACAGGATCTGACCGACCGTTCGTTGGTGCCAGATTTTCTTTTGCAATCTCTTTTTCACCTTGGATGGCAGTGCGGCTATTTGTTCCGGTTCAGTCGATGATACGGTTACTGCTGACGGGGTTACTCTCCATGAGGTACGAGCTATTCTTGATGTACATTGATCGACAAGTTTAGGGTTTCTGTTATTTAGTTCACTCATGCTACTTCCCATACCATCGATGTCGCCTATGGCTGCGCTAACGACCGGGCGCTTCTTCCTGCTGAACAAGCTGTCAATGCTGATAGTTACGAAGTATGTTGTCTGCGATCTATGTGAAATTCATACTGACATTATCCCTAGTGCTTCGCGAATGAGGTTTACAAGGCCAATCAGTGCAGTTAGAAACAGAGTCGCCTATTGATGTGGGATTTCGACAAATTGAGGTTCGGAATTTCGTTAAATAGTGATGTTGTTTATATGTGATTGACTCGTTTATATCAATACATGTTTGTGTCTTCCTCTGAAATGTTACCTAAGTATGTCTTGGTTGACGGCAAGCTGAATCACTCTGGAGACAGGTAGACTTTTCCCGTGCATCTGGCATTACCCACATTCGAAAACGGTTGTTATAGGAATAATGCCCTTTCTCCGACCGCGATCTGGGATTATGGCTTCCATCTTGTTTGCACAGTTGAATCAGACTGGTTTCATGATTAACGGAATAGAAGGGCCAATACAGCACGTAGCCAACACGGTTGCATCCATGAGATTCGACGAAGAGTATTATAGTAACATGAGATTTCTCTCCATCCATGGCGCTAATCAAGCGCCTCGTTCTTGATGCACATCCACCCCGTCTGCCAAGCTGTTACGCAAGATCAGTAACGGCGGCCCGTCAGAGACCTATATATATTCGTCCTTTCCTCCTTCCAAATCATAGAAAGTCCGGGCCTCTGCAAGGTCAGTTGAAAAAGGTTTCCTGGAGCGGCCATCTTACTCAGACAAATTATCTTCGTTTAGAGACGTAATTGTGGATCAGAACCATAACTACCACCGCCAGCAATCTCTCCCTCTGTCACAAATGGGCACGGCCGCGTACCCGCGTCAACTTATCCGTATCACAGTCGCAATAACGCCCCCAGAACTGCTCTCTATCCCCTCTTACGAGGGAGCTTATACACACCCGCCTTCGCAGAACCACCGTTCCAATACTTCTGCGTATCCGGCACACATTTCCTACCCTCAGCATGGTTCTCTCTGGAATTCGACTGGTGGTAACGACCAAGCTTCCCACCGTTCGTCCATCACCAATCCACCTCGTAACGGGTACGGTTTTAGCAACACTCTGGTTCCTTACAATCTCACCGCTGTAGCAAGAAATCGTCCTACGGCCTCCACCCGTCGACCTCATAACGAACCCAATAATGCACCTCGGAACGAGCTTAGCAATACTTTAGTTCCTGACAATTCCACTGCCGGAGCGGCGAATCGCGCTGCCTCCGAAACAAGGAACCCTACTCGTGTTCCGCATAACCAAACTCATGGCCAGTCCGTTCCTTACACTGTCCCACCACAGCCATCTTCTTCGAATGTTACTAGGCCTACACACCAAACACGTCACCGCAGGAATCGCGTGTCTTCCAACGCGAGCTCCTTTTCCTCGTCTAGCTCTGACTCGTCTACCCGAGTCCGTACGCGGCCTTCACCACCACCAGCATTAGATACGACGATTATGCTTGACATGACCGAACGATACGTACCTTTCTATGCATGAACTATAAACTTAACAGTGAATGAATTCCGTTTCCTCACCCGTGTCACCATGTTCCCTCCCACATTTCCGGTTGTTCTCTTCACTCTATAAGACCGAAGCCTCTAAATCTTCAATGCTGGGGACCGCAAACACAGAACAACCCTAAAAGTCTAATCATATCTAAGTTCTCTGAAAGCTTCTGCGTCAAAAGTTCAGCGAGGTTATAGATACGGAAGTACAGAGTGAACAGAAAAGATGTAGTTGGTCCTACCAGCCTAGCTTCCGCCACATAGCACGATACTCTGGGAACCTCGAACAAAACAACCTCACCCGACGCTCGGTCCCATCCCGGAATTCCTGATCAAACCGTTCCAGGGCAAACTGTTTCCAATACGTCGAATTTTTCTTTTCCTGAATACTCATTCCCTCCACGACGATCTTCAACATCTATCCTATATCTCCCACATCCGCATTATGCTTGCTCCGAAGACGCAGTTGCGTCGACTCCATATTATCCCTCCACCCCTTCAGTTTGTGCAACAACAGAATCGACATGGGGACGACGGGTAATCCCTGCTTATCGACGATAGCCTCTGAAAATATCATCGGGAGCTGTAACACCCCCCGTTTGAGGATGTCAACTTTGGTTTTCTCCAGTTTCCCATCCACGTTGTGGTCGTGGTACCAAAGGACCCTCCAGGTAGCTCCGGATGTCTTAGCGTCTGTGAGATAAAATCGGTCCGGATTCTTAGTGACCAAGAGTTCCTTCAAGCACTCTGGTTTGCAGGTATGTGATGACATCAGGATGTCGAGGTCCTATATACGCCTTTGTCAGAATCCGCCATGACGAGACATAAGTACCCACATTTAGACGGTCATTTCCGTACAGATAGCACGCTGTACTCCCGAGGATCGCAAATGTGCATCCTTCCTTTTTAAAGATACGAGTGACTTCCCTCGCCGCGCGGAATACGACTGCCCGAGGGCCTCACGTTGGAATCACCGGAGTCGCAAGTAAAGCACTTGCTCGTGTCGCTGACTGGGAACTGGCGTCCTGTTCATCGCCTGACCAATCGGTAATCACAGCAAAACCTAGAAAAACTTGGTGTTCGTCCATAGGAGTGGCTGTAATAAAGAGGCCAAGAGATGGTGAGTGTGACCGTTAGAAGGAAAAGAAAGGAGACCCCGAGTCTATTTCGGCACCGCGCTGATCTTTGAATTTCAAATAATCTACGTATTCTTTCGGGCGTACATAGGCAAATGGATACGCACATCCCAATTCCCCAGCGTCAATTGCACAAAGAAACAAAATGTGTCGGTACAAGTATTCCTCCTCTCTAAGAGGCGACTAAGTAATTAATTTATTTCACAGCAGGGAATACAACAACTGCAACGGGCATACATACATAGGCCATCGCCCTAGTGCGTGAGGTGAAGCATCCGACGATGACATCGTATTCTGCTTCCAGACGCAACCCAATGGATGCTCATACAATTCGCCCCACTCATTGACCGTGGCGTGGTTGAACTGGTAACTCAACTTTCTGGAAACGCGAGCCTGAAAAACAGGCTCGTGTGGTTGACGGGTGCCTCTCATTCATGTTAGGAGTACCGGGAGAGAAATTAACATCGACTTTCACTCTAGGGAAAAGGAAGCGGCCAGTAGATGCGGACCACAGTATCCAATGCTGATGCAATACTTGAAGGCTTGATTCGGTTAAGGTATGGAAAATCGGCCAATAACCGACTGTGATCGCAAGTCTTGACCACGGCATCGTTCCACGAAGTAGCAAGATGACATTTCTTTCCTAAAGAAAACACTGATACCAATCGTATCGAATAGTACAATCGAATAGTCGGCCAAACCGTAAAGGCACAGCTCCAGCATCCAAAACGAAATGAACTCGGAATAGAAGACGGCTTCCGTATGTCGGAGGGAAGGATCTAGAAAGTAATAGCAAATTCATCACTTCGTGGACGACGGGAATCCTGAAAGCTAGACTGGCGCTTGGTATTGATGGAAGTACGACCCTGCAACGCGAGTGTCAGCACAGATTACACCACGACTGAGACAAAAGAGAATCAGAGATCTTGGTGGAAAAATAGTCTCATCGGGCTGCGTAGCCCTCTGAAGTAGCAAATATAGAAGATATTGCATCATGCGAGAAGAACAGGAAAGTGAAGTGTTGTGCGCTTACCTCAAAAAGGTAACCACCGGAAACTGCGGAGCTGCGAACCAACAAAGATACAAGTCCTCTCTATAGAGGTGAGAGGTCTAAGAATAACATCGTGAGCGAAACCGGGAGCACGGGAAACAGGCGGGAGTAATAATCTCAGTGAGAGAAATACGGACGCAACAGAGCTTCGCGCATTCCAGCCCAACGGGGCCGTCAAAATGCAAGGGGAATGTGCGGTTCATCAGAGGATGATGTGTGAGGAAAGGGGACTCACGATGTGGCGTTATAAAGCGAAAGAGGAACAATGTGAATGCAGGCCATGCCGGGTAAGAGCGGCATGTCGTGAAACTCTCAAGGACGTGCAACGCGCTTCACAAGGCGACATCCATGAGTCAGCCTACGCCCTAGCTAACTGAATGTTGGGTTAACTGGCTGTAGTTTTCGAAACGAGCCTGTATAGCGCACCTGCGTAGCATTTCATAGTAGCATCCATGCCCGGCGTTCTTGGTAGGTTGGAGCTGGGAGCTTCCTATTGACGCGACATATAACGGGGAAGACGAAGCACGCCGAAACTTGGAGCAACCTGGTCATCAATCAGCAGGTACGTATCTTCAGGTGGAGTAGCAACGTACTTTAACCTGCGCGCGGGACCTTCTGACAAGAATTGACCGTCACCTGTTCTAGGGCGACATAGTGCAGTGTTGGCGAACGGGCATATATGCTGAAGCAAGGTTCGATAAGGGCAAGGCTTTCTGGGTTGGCGATTACAGGAGCTCACCATGTTCTCCTTTGAAGGGAATCACAACAGGCTGCCATAGATGAACGCTTCCCAGCCGACATCGGAGTCGAAGGAGTTTTGGCCGCACGCGAACATCAGGCCATGTTCGTCGAGGATGAACAATGCTGCAAGCACCAAACGAGTCTAAGTCAAAGACTTATACTCAGCATGCCTTGGGTAGATGTCAGTCCCGCATTAGAGCGGACTGGCGGAGGTCCCCCTTAGAGGAAGAAGGAAAAAAGACAAAGCGTCGAAATTTTCAAACAAGAGCAATCAAACGAGACATGTGACCGACGCGTCATTGAATCTCGGACCGTATCTTCCGAATCTAACCTTATCATCGAATTTTTGTATTGACCTACAACCCTATCACACAGGTTATAAGTATAGAGTAGTCAGGGCCGTGGTCTTGGTTTAAAAATTTCATGCATCATGTTTAGGGTGAGGTCCGATGTTAGGACTCGCTCCAAGGCAAGAAAGTGAGTGAGCCATCTCTTCCCTGTCATGCCTCGCTGTGATTGATCATCAAAGCTCCTAAGTAGGTATCCACGCCAACCTAGCCATGTTCGAAGGCCCTGGGTTCGGTGGACGGAGGCGTGCTCGGTTTTAAACAGTCATCTAATACACGCACTTAAGTGTTTCGGCCAGCATGTTTCCAGGTGCCTTTAGAAGATGTATAATTAGTCTTCCCGGCTGGGACTTCTACGTCTCTGGGTCCGCGTTGCCACCAAGCAGCTACAAGTATCGGCCGATGCTAGTCCAATCAGATTGTGCGGGCAACATCCCGTGGAAAAGTCTATCCCATGTCTGACTACTGCGACACTCACACAGAGTTAGTTTGGATGATGCAGGATATCTACCCAAGTGTTCCTCAATGAATGTAAGGTTCAAAGTAGCCCTGTCATCTAGTAAATGGCCAACAAAAAAAAAACCGATCATACCTAATATTAGCAGGATGAGAAACGTGCCAGGTATAGTTACTCTCCAAAGTGATATCTGCCGTAGTTGCTTACGGCAGATCTGATGATACACGACCTTCTTCATGAAAAGGAGATAGTGGAAATTGTCCGGTGGCATTCGGAGACACCGTTTTAGCGTGAAACCAGTCAGTACAGATAAAAATAGGATGTCCACATTGAAAGCCTCAGGCTGCGATCTACCGGAAGATGTATCTCATCTTCGCCAGCGATTCAGCTGCACGCAAAGCTATTAGGACCATATACGTAATGCACAACGGCATCCATAACCGTGCAAGCTGATTTTTACCTGCTAACGCTTAGCCAACAGGGTGTGTAGATAATACTTAAATACCTGGCGCAGTAGAAAACAGCTTAATCGTTCGGATAGTCTTCCATCATATGACCCCAAGACTAGCTCGGGCCAGACTAAGAGAGTAAATATGCTGAAGAAACAAAATTTGGTGACGAGAATACGGAGGATTATCATTAGCCTTAGGTGCATAAATCCGAGATGCAGTACAGTTGTCCTGCAGATGCGCGTAATTCCGTCCTCGTTTCGAGCGAGTCCTGTCGGTGCAGAAAATGGAACACCCAGTCGAAGGCCAAGAAGGTCCACGAAGTATATACAGGATATAGATAGATGATTAGAGACACGCTTATATTAGCGAGAGCTTAGGCTTTGAGAACTGAATTATAATCCATAAGCCAGGAAACACATCTACAATCAGGCATTAGCATATCTTGAGACCTCGACCATGTGTAGCTCAGACATACCATCATCTCCGATATCAGATACCTTTTTCCATCATCCCCATATGTGAGCACTCCCGAAATTGAAATGTCTCAGGCATCTCTGCAGTCCGTATATGATGCAAAATAAACACCAATTTATTGTACCTCTATCGCTCTTTCGAGGGAGTATCAGTCAGTGAAACTTGGTTGCATTATAATTCACCCTTTCACGTGCGGGCATACAACTAGACTATGAACCATGGCCAGTCCATTTGCTCAGGATGCGACGGTGATGGTTCTCCATCGTTTCTATTACCTATACATAGCCACGCTTTCTAGATTCACTGATCCCCGCCATAGCCTGGAGAGCACCGGTGGAAATTGTCGCGTACAATAACGAAAGATGATCGGGCATGCGATCTGTTAATTTTTACGTCGTCAGGATACGTAATTCAGTACAGTCTATCAGATTAAATAGTCTTTTCAGGGGAGAACATAGGTCCACGTGTTTTACATGCTGCGGGAGTTTTTGCGTAGGATTCACATACATGGCTTCTACTCGCATTAAGTCAGGAGCCGGTAGACCGGTCAGATGTACCTTGGCTGAAATAGATGAGTCAATTCTTTGAGCTTTCATGTCGGGTAAAACTACACTGTGCACAATACTGAATATACAAATCTTATGCCAAGATGGACGCCCATGGTCTCAATTCGTTTGCATCCGTGAGAGCGGACTTACTTCTTACAATTTCTTGTAAATTTTCCTTTTGCGTATTTTTAATCTTTCGCTGAAAATAGTCTATCTACCTTCATGATGTTCCTCAAAAGACTCTTCTCAATGAAAATCCGGTTTTCATCTATCCAACGTCTATCTACGTCCGCCCAAGCAACAAAGCAAGTCATCGGAAATGTTGATCTCTTCTAATTAGGGGAATAATCCCTCCACAAAGCGGGTCATGCTTGTCTGATAGAGTAAGTGTTTACATGGCCAATAACCCTGACGGTCTCTGGTATATTTCCCCCGAAATTACATATTGCATGAACACGCCGCTTCTCTAATAATAAAAGAAAAATCTCTGGTAGGTACTTAAACCGTCATGTTGCATATAACAAAAGTTAATTAACATCACCCCACCAACATTTCGTCTATGAACGTGTTTCTTGTGCGCTATTTTCCTATCCTCCTTGGCCATCGAAATCTAATGCCATGTTTTTCTTCTTTACAATTTAGGTCGGCGATCGTGTCTTCTTTTACAACTCGAGTGGACAACTCCTGAAAGGTGTTGTCGAGTCATCAAGTCGCATGACAGACGTGAGTACCGCGCACTCAAATAGCACGTATTTCGATTGACAGTCTATAGGGCACGCAAATGGTTCTCATCAAGCGCGATGATGGAGGAACCATAACCTTGCCGTAAGTGATTCACTTTCTTAGTGAGAACTTGCTGGACACTTAATACCGTAGATCTGCGAGCGTGTTTCGTCGTGGTTAGTTTCAGGGTGTAATAATGAAAGCAGCTTGTACTACTGGGTAGAACCCATGCTAGAGAAAGATGTGTAATAATTCCATGCCCCAAATCCTTGTTTACGCTCTTGGCCAAGTCTCAATGTACCATTTCCGTTGTGACGACGAGGCCCTACACTAGCAAGTCGAACCTGTCATAAACTCATCCATATCACAGGAGACATTGAGATAAGAGCGCTAGCAACAAGCCCTCACCATCGACATGTGAGATTTCGAACTTCTTATAACACTAGCAGATAGTCGCTATTTGGGTGCTCGTATGGATTTACTTACGTGTTTGCCTATTTCCTCGGGGATTTCTAGTAACAAGGCTGTATGTTTCGTACTTAGTCTCCATGTCGGGTTTGCCACAGACGTAATCCATTCTTGCCACTCACTTCGTTTGAGAACGGCCCTGCGATTCTAACAGACGAAATCAGGAGGCTGTTAACCGAACCCCCACAATTCCTTTCATTCGAGTCTGAGAGTGTCAATGCAAGTGATCCTCTGGTTCGTTTATCCACTTCGCGGCGCTTGCATTGATCTATTCCATTTACAGAGCCAAGCATCTGGGCTCAATAAAAGGACGAATGTTCATGTAGTCGTCGTATTCTTCTGATAATAGTGAATATGAGCATAGAGAAGCACGGAAACACTAACGCATGAGATAGCTGAAGGATCCCCTCCTTAAGCTAGGTCTCGAGAATGAAAATTATCCGCTTTGGCTTCCGTAGAATGTTTTGAGATCTAGTGGTAGAGTTCCTCAGTCAACACATCTACGGTCCATCAATCTCAGTAAAGTACGCCTCGATGACTCTCCAGGGGAGGTGAACATGTTACAGTCAAATCACGGTGCTTACTTTCCAGTATCCTTTATTGATTTGTAGATTCCGGCGTTATGAGTGGAAGGAAATCAAGGCAATCAAAGAATTCCTCCATTGCTTAGTTATATGTCATAGGCGAATAATTTAATCGTAATTAATGAGCGGCGATGCGACTGTCCTGAAATATTGAAGCCAAGAACGCAACGTGTAGTCGTGGTACGGTTTTGACTGTTGTTGTTTCTCTTTCGTTGCGCTTTGCCGTTCTGTCTTACTTACCATGTCATTCATTAATCCCATGCCGCTACCATCACATTCATTTTTGAAAAAGACGTCGTAATTAATGTCCTGGTTGCTATACCGAGAGTAGAGAATCGATGTCGAGATTATTGGTACGAGCAACACTGCTCTTCTAGACGAAGTTATTCCGATATCTGTGTACATCCAGAAATGGGCCGTAATAGCTCGTGAAAATATTTGGAACCCATGAAGCGCTGGCTGGTTTGAGGTAGTCCGAGACCTAGCGGTACCTTTCGAGGAAGGTCGATGAAGATGTGAGTGTGGAGTTCTCTCGAAGGACTTCTTTACTGAACCTTGTCTTACTTGCACATCTAACACCTACAACTTTCCAACGACTTACCTGATCTTTATAATCTGAATCAATTCTCTTCCCAATGCCATACATGAATGCGGTCTAAAATGTTGCTGTCGCGCTAGGGGTATCTCGCTTCTGTTTGCTTCAAAAACCGGATGCCGCCGGCCCTAATACTAGGTCGCTTCGAAGTCAGAATGACTCTTACGCCGCCCTCTGACGGTGTTCCTCACAATGAAGAATTTCACGGAAAGGCGCTCCTTCTCTGCACGTATTCCTTGATGGATGGAAACGAAGCCGTTGTCATTTAACTTCGTCTTGATTGGGGCTGTCGACGCGAGTTTCTTTCATTACACTAACGTCTGATGAAAGGCAAACTACCCTTGAATTTGACGGCCCCGTTGGGCTGGATGCGTGAAACTGCCGCGTCCGTGCTTATTTCCTTTCCTGAGATTCTTTTGTTCTCACCGTTTTCCGGCAAAGCTAGCGAGGCTAAGTATTCTTAGGTCCCTCCTCACTACGGAAGGCTTCGTTTTGGGGTACGGAACTATTGGTTCGTATGGCTTTCTTACACGATGCGATGTCTTCTATACTTGCTACTTTGGAGAGGTTAAAGCTCTATGAGATCAGTCTCCCTCCAAGATCTCATTTAATTTCCTTTAACTCGTACGGGTTTCTCTTTGTGCTGATATTGGTGATATAGGGCCTCAATCCTATCAAGAACACGGTTGATAACGGCGAAAATGCTGACCCTACATTTGAATGACGAGTGCCAGCCTGGTGAGATAGATCATTTTACGCGGATCTACATTTCGCCCGTTTATTGAGTTCTGCTAGTTCGCACGAACATATCCATATCATATTGGTGTCTATTGTCCATTACGATGTTTGTTGACCTGAAAGACGTCCTTGGTAAGAATTTAGTAACCACTCCTTTGCTGCCTATCCTAATGATACGAGATTATCGCCGGGTGCTTTACCTTCGGTACCACACCTACCGGGGCCAAAAGAATGCAGTGTCCTATTACGTTCAGTGCGGATGGAGTAATTCTTGTACGCTTCATTCTGCCTGCTCCTCGACAGTTAGGCCAACTGTATATGTTGCTCCCATAATCGTTACGATAGGTTTCCGTGTTGTTTTGGACAAAGAATACTCAATACGTCTTCCAGTGAGACTTCTGCGGCATGAATGCTGTAATCGTTCGAAGAGCACTCTTCAAAGTTGCCGCCGAAAAACGTTCGGCCTTTCTACAAACGGTACAGCTGTTTATTGGATAACGTCAGAATGATGCTGCAAAACGAATGGAATGTCAGAAGGCTGATGACCTTACGCTTAATCGTGGCTATGGTAACAAGGCCGTTTATCTTTAGCATTTTCTCAGGGTTTGAATCTCATGCTGCGCATCTCGTTCAATATTTCATATTAACGTTCGACGTTTCAATTACCCTCATTTTGATCGTAATTCACATTCGCATTACTGTGCTGAGTCACAGTCATCGGGAGTCACATTCCGAAGGCTGCATCAAAATCACAAGTCGCGGCTTACAGATGCATTTGTCGAGACTTGGGGAGCTGACGTGAGGTTAGCTGTCCCTCCGTCGAGTCCTTCATTGACGCTCAATTGTACTTCGCAAGGAGGATGTTCTTTTTGGTCGTTGTATCTCCTTTCTACCCATTTGTCTCAGAAGCGTGGCTTTTTTCGTCTATTATAGGCACCGACATCATGATTCGGTTTATGGCCGTTAACACAAGAACAATCGATCTAAGAAGCAAGCTTAGGGGTTTTGATGGAAAGGTGAGTTTGTCCCGTCATCCTTCTCACGATGTCTGTGACACTGATTAGCTGTCTGTGCCTAAACTGCGGTGGAATAAGATTTCGTGAAAGCGTACTCTAAAGAGACATGCGTTGTCCATCTGTTCCTGTTTACGATTGTGAGTCTTCGTCATTCTCTCGATACAGTAGTGGTTAACGTCTTCGCTTTCAAAGTAGAGTAGTACCGGAACATAAAATCGAGTACTCCAGACTGTTTGCTTACAATTAATTCTAGCCAAGAGCCTCCAAGACTTTGCTCTCTGAGGTGATCGATGCTCATCGCGCATGTGTTCCGTTGTCACGATGTCTTCAGTGTCTTGTGTGTCCTTGTGCTCTCGAGATAAGGATACCGACATTTAAACAGGAGGAATGGCTACCTTAATCATCAGTCTCGACTTCATACCACGCTCGTTGTTTTGATTACTCTCAGCGTCGCCCCCTCTGGCTTTGTCAGTCAGTACAAAAGAGATGGTGGACTTACCATCTCCCTTTCTGGACCTGTGACGAATGTCACCACTGTCGACGATCTCAACTTCACAGCGACTGTAGCCAATACTGGTTCAGAGTCGGTGAAGATCTTGAAGTGCGGGAAGATTTTGGATAATATCCTTCCAACCCGCTCGTTCACTGTTACCAAGGATGGAGAGACTGTTCCGCTCGGGAGAGGAGAATTCTGCGTTTGCGTGCTGCGTGCTTGCGTTTGCTTGCGTTTTGTTCGCGTTCATTTGCGTTTCGGGTCCGTTCATTTGCGTTTCCATCATTGCGTGTATATGGTGTCGTGTGCGTGCCATTGTCTACGAATGCGAGTGCTATTTAATGTTCTTGAGTCCTTCGAATATATCTTAATTTCCGGATGAACATAGCATGTCAGAACAATGTTATATATACTTAATAGAGGTAACTCAGTTGTTTCAGACACAACATACATCAAATAAGTTACATACAAGGTGCCCCAGATACACAATTAATCGACTGCAGGCCTAACGCAAGTCCCATCCTATGAACGCAATGCATCAACTTCGTGATGGTTGCGTCTGAATCATTAACGCACGCGTTCACTTGATTTACGCATGCGTTCACATGGTAACGCAAGCGTTTTGAACATTCTCGCAAGCGTTTAAATATCCACGCAAATGCACAGGCAGCCCATGCACGTCAAGAGACAAAAACGCATGCGTTACAAGGTTCGAACGCAAGTGTGACATACTCGTCACATTTGCGTTTCATTGGAGTTGAACTTGCCCAACATGCTTTTCATCCTTCCGTGGCCTCGTATTGATTTATTTCGCATATCTTTTACTATATAATACCTTAAAATTGTCTAAACTTCCCAATCAATATCCATTTTTTTTTTTTTTTGAATCCTGTTGGTATGTGATGTACTGTAATCCTACACGCTAGCGTATGGTGGGATATTGCTACTTATCTATATCTCGTCCATTATCAATATCCACAATAATGGTTTAACGGTGCCTTCAATGCATTCCCTTACCTACAAGGCTACCACTTCTGTGATAAGAAACAGTACAGTATTCTAGTGTCTACAAGCCAGAATCATTGCTCTCCGATTGTCTGCAGCTTTGCTTGGCAGGTCAGCAATGATTTTCGTTAGTATCAGCTGTTCCCGAGTCATCCGATTTGGTAGGTATATCAGTGTTGGAAGTACAGAGGAGAATGTGTGTGAGAGAGAATTAATTAGCCTCTCAAGGGAGAGGCATCGTACTTAAATACATGTTGTACTACTTCTAGAACTTACTACGAATTACTCTGTATATCTACTTTTGCAGTTAAATGCTTATGCCGCTTAGTCATGCCGAAGCTTCGAGTGCATTCTAGCACTAACTCGGGATTGCTATCCCAACACTCCCCCTCAATTCCGAGTCCCTAGAATACCTGCAGATAAATATTCATGTAATGGTCTTGGTAGTCCTTTAGTGAATATATCTGCTAAGTTCTCCTCTGAGGTGCAGTGCTGAACTTTGACTTCATTTGAAGCCATGCGCTCGCGAACAAAATGATGATGGATATCAATGTGTTTTGATCGCGTGTGGAATATTGGGTTCTCAGCGAATTTGATCGCTGATTGATTGTCGACCATAATAGTAGTTGCACCATCAGGTGGCAACCCTAATTCGGTTAGAAGCGCTCGCAACCATATTACTTCTCTAGTTGTGTGCGCAAGGGCCATATACTCTGCTTCCATAGTGGATAGGGCTACGGTGGGCTGTTTCTTTGAACTCCAAGTAACAGCTCCCCCTGCATAGGTACAGACATAACCAGATGTTGATCTTCTATCTGTTCTGTCTTCTCCCCAGTCTGAATCTGAATAAGGTATCAGTTCATCTGTAGTCCCTCCATATGTAATTCCTAAGTCTAGAGTCCCCTTCAAGTAACGGAAAACTCATTTGAGGGCTGTGACATGCTCAGCAGCTGGATCCTGCACATATTTGCTTAATTCTGTGACAGCATGTGCAATATCGTGCCGGGATCCATTTGCCACATACATCAGAGATCCGACACCGGTGTGGTAATACTGCCTGGTGGCTGTGTCAATGCCTCGGGAATCTCCTTCGGGGATTTTCTCTAGCCGTACATTCAGGTCCATAGGCATTTTGACTGGTTTACAGTCTTTCATGCCCATTCTCTCGAGTACCTTGAGAATATATGCCTTCTGGGATAAGGTAATAGTGCCCATCTCCCAATTTCTGTCTATCTTCATGCCCAATATATGTTGAATCTCCCCCATGTCTGTAACATTTAACTTCTTCTTAAGTTCTTCTTTCATGTTAGACATGGTTTCATCATCCTGGGCAAGCAATGTCATGTCATCTACATGCACAGCTATAATTATGGGGCCTGATTTCGCTTGTCTGATGTATACACATTGATCACTGATCAATCTCATGTATCCAAGTCCCAAAAATGTAGTGTTTAATTTTTTGTTCCAAACTCGGCCAGATTGCTTGAGTCCATACAATGTCAATTTGAGGTGTGCTGCTTTGCCACTTCCATCAGAATATTCTGGCGGTTGAGCCATGTAAATGGATTCATTGAGCTTTCCATTTAAGTAAGCTCCGACGACATCCATTCCATGTATAATCAAGTTTCTTTGTGCGGCAATGGCCATAAGTAGGCGGAATGTGTCCAACCTGACAACTGGGTGCATATGTCTCGAAGAAATCAATGCCGGGAACCTGCGAAAATCCTTTCGCAACAAGTCTGGCCTTGTATCTGGTGATTTTCCCATCACCATCCCTTTTTAATCTATAACTCCACTTGCAATTTACAAGTGATCTGTCCTGGGGTAATTCCTCTAACTGCCATGTACCCAGAGAGGTCAATAGATTATATTCTTCATCCATTGCTTTCTTCCAATGATGCCAATCTGGCCTTGTTTTAGCTTCTTCAAGGCTTAATGGCTCATCACTGAGGTTATCTGCAGTCTCCCCCAGACATGCATAGTCTGCTGCTATATTTGCAGTTTCCAAAGGTTCCTGTGACATTTCACGCTGCAATTCCGGCGATTTCGTGCCTCTTGCAGCTGGATTATTGAGCAACCGGTAACTTGGTTGATTGATTGATGCGATCCGGACTGATTTGGTACGTGGCTCGATCGCCTTCCCACGCCAAATGGGAAGCTTTGATTTGGTTGCCAGGGCATCAAGGGGCATTTCCCCTTTTGATTCAGCAATTTCGGCAGCCGCGGAATCATCGGAAATGTCATCATTTCCACCTGGAGTCTGCTCGACATTGTTCCCTAACTCCCCCTCGAGCAATGAAGGGTGGGATACAATATAATCATTGTCTGTAGGCTCTTTAGTGTTGTCTTCAAGGAATATAACATTTCTTGAGGTCTGAATCTGTCTGGTCTGAGAATTATAATATCTCCAGGCCCTAGATTCATCTGTAAGACCTGTAAAAATGAATTCCCTTGATTTCGGGTCGAGTTTTGACCTTTTGTTATCTTGCTGCAACACCCAGCACTTTGCTCCGAACTCCTGGAGTGTTGAAATGTCCAGTTTCGTGCCCCAAAACACTTCTTCGGGGGTTAGATCATTCTTGATGGCCTTAGTCGGTGATCAGTTCTTCAGGTACATGGTGTATGCCACTGCCTCGGGCCATAGGAATTTCGGCAAATGATGTTCTTCTAGCATGGCACATGCATGCTCCACAAGGGTCCGATTGACTCTCTCCGCAATTCCATTTTGGGGTGGAGAATATGCGGCAGTCAGTTCCAACTGAATGCCATTGCCATGGAGGTATTCCTTCCCATTATCAATCCTCATAAACTTCAGGTCCTCCCCTTTGTGGACTTTGATGTATTTCTGGTACTGTTGGATTTCTTTTTGATCTCCGTACCTTCTTTTGACTTCAGAAAATACAACATTGTCCTCCGGGATTTGCCATCTGTGAAGCTTATGTAATATCTTTCTCCATGGATACCCTGAGTTCGGGCTGGCCCCCATAGGTCCGAAAATGTCATTTCACCTATTCTTGTGTATTCCCTTTGAGCTTCTTGTGGAAATGGCTCAACATGGTGCTTAGCCTTTATACAGGCTTTGCAATCCTTCTGGGGCTCAGCTAACTCATCCACATCCATACCCTTGACCATCTTCTTTCTAAATAGTCTCTTTACTGATCCCATATTTAAGTGGCCCATCACTCAGTGCCACATCTGCCACGATCGGGCCGGTTTTATCACGTGGGCTTGAGTTATTTCTGGCGCAATGATGTCAAGGCTATACAGCTTCGAAATCTTATCTCCATGACCAATTGTCTTGTCATGCGGTGAGATAATATCCATCCGGGATCCTTTGAATTTGAGTTCAAACCCAGCATCCATGATGCGCCCCAGCGAAATAAGATTGAATGGTGCCTCGGGACAGTGAATACAATCCTTCAGTGTAACTGAAGTGGTCTCATCCCCTTCAACCATTTTAATCTTTACTGTTCCTCTTCCCAAGCCTTTTGACTTTCCTACACCAATAACTTCGTGTCCTGGGGTCTCAACATAGTTAGAAAAATGTAATCTGTTCTTGACTATATGTTTAGTTGTTCCTGAGTCCCCCAGCCATGATGACCCTGCAAGCATAACGAGTGCAGTGTCTGTAGTGCAAATGCATAATCTTCTTCATCTGAATCCGATTTGGCAACATGTGCCTGGGTCTGGCCCTTCCCTTTCCCCTTCCATGACTTTCCAGAATTCTTCTTTCCATTTGGGCAGTTTGCCCTGATGTGACCAGCTTCTCCACATCTGTAACATGTGATTTTTGAGTTGGACTTCTTCTTGCCATGTGCTGCAAGTGTTGTGGTCGGATCAGAAGTCTTTTCTCGTAATCGGATGTCTTCCTGGAGAATTCAGGAAATCAATTTGTAGGAATCTTTCAAATCTGCAGTGTCCACTGATGAAATGAATGAATTCCACGATTCTGGGAGTGATGTAAGCAGTGTAATAGAGAAGTCCTCCTCCTCAACTTTCTGCTTGAGGGATGCCAGCTCCTCTTGATAGGACCTCATAGTCCTAATATGTTCCTCTATGTTTCCCCCTTCTTCACACTGAGCTCTAAAGAATCTCCTTCTAACAAGGACAATTCCCATGGGTCTCCTGGACTCATACATGTCTTTTAGAGCATTCCATGCTTCTTCTGAAGTCTTCGAACCAGCAATATACACCAGTGGGCCATCCGAAACCCGCAACCTTATTGTCGAAAGAGCCTTCCTATCGCTCTTCTTCCAATCTGCCACCAGTGCCGCTTCTGCCGGGGCCTTGATGCTTCCGTCTGCGTAATCAATTAGACCTAAATCAGTTAGGATATCGATCATTTTGATTTTCCATGTCGGGTAATTTTCCGGGCCCTTAAGGGGGTCAATTCTGTAAATGGACTGGCTTTCCATGTGGTTCTGTATGTGTATGTAATGTACAAAAGTGCGAAGTAGGTAATGAGGTAAGTAGTTCAGTTAGAGCCGGGGCCCATAACCTGTTGGAAGTACAGAGGAGAATGTGTGTGAGAGAGAATTAATTAGCCTCTCAAGGGAGAGGCATCGTACTTAAATACATGTTGTACTACTTCTAGAACTTACTACGAATTACTCTGTATATCTACTTTTGCAGTTAAATGCTTATGCTGCTTAGTCATGCCGAAGCTTCGAGTGCATTCTAGCACTAACTCGGGATTGCTATCCCAACAATCAGCCTCAGCCTGACGCTTTCCGGTACCATTTGACAGCATTCTGGGTCGTGGATGTGTGGCTGTTTGCACTCGTTCTCTTTCCTCCTCCTTCTCTTGTTCCATCTTATGCCACTGCTCCAGCTCCTCTTTGTCAAAAATCCTTGGAATCCGAATCCGCTTCCAGCAGCCAGGTGCCTATCACACGCCTAATTTTTTTCTGTTAATTAGAAGCATTAGGGAGACATCTTTCAAGTACATCACTGAGACTTACGAGGATACCCATGAAATTTTTGAGGCAAGATCTGTGCAAGAACTCGTGGTTCACAAGTGGGTGGAAACTTGAACTAATGTTCACAGCAATTGTGCTAGCAATGCTGTACTAACTACAAGGATTTTATACTACTAGAATACATAGAATGTACTAGAATGTATGACGGTATCACTGATAAAATGAGTGCATCCAGGGAATATGGGGAGAATGAGCGAGAATATTCAAGCAAGCTCTGACATCTAAAAATAGCAATCCATATTCTAACAAGATCTCAAATTGACAGGCTCCCGTCGTGGCATGAGGGATTGGGTTGCATCACGCCATGACACGTCTGCAGGTGAAACGCAAGGATGTCACGCATGCAAATGCAAACACATTTCAACTAATGCAACTGCCTTTTTAGGAAACGCATGCGTTTGAACGCAAATGCAAATGCAGGAGCGATAACGCAAGGCAACACATCCACGCATGTGGATAATGCAGAATTCACCATGCCCGTTCCGCTCACTGGGATAAAGGTAGGGTTTTCCCCAGTCTAATTTATCCACTGTCAGGCAGCCCATTCAGCGGTTTTCTGCAGGCTATGTTTTATTTGGAAGACATTGGTGACTCAGCTTTTGCAGTCATTTCTCCTGGAGAGTCGGCTATTGTCAAGCATGAACGTAAGCGCGATACTTTCTTGAATTTGGGATGACTGCCCTATAATTCTTGTTAAAAAGTGTCGACGCTCTTTGCCTTTGCCTCCGCTGTTCCAGGAACGCTCACGTTCATGTCTGTTACGATGTTCAAAATGGATGGTACCGAAGCTGGATTCGCCAATGCGAGCCTTGACAGGATTTCAGTGTCGTCCAGCATGAAAGCAAATAGTGACTCACGACGTGACCTCTGGTGGAGTGACAAATTCAGTGAAGTTTCCTGTGAATGCGAACAAGACAATGAGACGAATGTTGCATAAGATGAAAGAACAGTAACCGACTGCTGATATGAACAGCTAGTCTCGTTCACTCCACGTTCGACATCCTGAGTATATGGAGGTGGTGGTGTAGAAAGGGAGCTTGAGGGGGTCGCACTTGAGCTTTGCTGTGGTTTCAATGGCTTGACGCCGTCTGTCATGGTGATGGATAAAGACAGAGATGGATTCCGGACCTTCGGCCCGGGACAGTTGGTCGCGTACTGCGTACTAAATCGAGTTAGGTCGCTGAGTTAACAGAAAATATGTATTTGGGTCTACCAGCCTAGTTTTCGCCACATATCACGATACTCTGGAAATCTCCAACAAAACAACCTCACCCGATACTCAGTCTCATCGCGGAATTCCTCATCGAACTATGGAATACAAGACTGGTACACTCCGGTTACCGCAATAACCGGTATTTGTATGTGCTTACTGCTACTATATACAGTAATATGACCCCGGAAACTTCCCCGTTATTCAAATTTTGAATCCTCTGCAGTTATAAATGTATATCCTTGATTGCCATCTTTCCCAATTTGTTTCAGATTGACATCCTTTTTACAGTCTGGTGTCCGTTTTGGTGCACTTCAGATATAGGCTATGCAAGTATTACCTGGCAAAGGATCCTGGCTGTGTCTTGGCCATCGGTCATCAGCAATTTCACATTCATGTAGAGGGTATAAGGTGGTATAGGGGATTTTGTGTGCACTGACAGCCTATACCATTATACATCTATAAACATCAAATTTATATAAATATGTCAGTCTAAGTCTAGGAGAGTGTTAGTCAAGAGCTAGGATTATATAGCTGAGGATGTACAAAAGGCGAAACAACAATTTCGAGTCAAGAGCATCAAGTATGTTCCTGAAATAGAAGTGGTCTGTGTAATCATGCCATAGGGTCACATGTACGTTGAACTTGTCGCAGTTTTTCATTTTAATCATTGCTCTTCAACTCTCACTTCTTCCATGCCATCCCTTCATTGTCCTCCCATTGGTACAGTGTGGTACTTTGGTAACTCCATTTTACTATTCTTCCAAGCTATCTGCTACATAAGATATCTGTAGGATCTCATCACGCGACCCTCATTGATATTGGACGACATTATTTTAACATCTCAAATCTGGAGCTATGCAGGAGTCTCCCCTCTCTTCTCTCTGCCCGTCTTCATACATCTGCTATTTACTTCTGCTACACAAACTTGGGCTGGACCTTGGGAGTTGCATGGATCCATGGAATACCTAAAGAGCTTAGGGTAACAGATAGCGGGAGACATTGGTAACGAGGTGTGCAATTGAACATCCTTTCCCGTTTTCTCAGCTTACTGATACCATGTGCAGGTTATTGTGACAGCAGTCAACCCTAGTCTCGCGATAAGGCCGGATGGGACGGTCTTGGTGCGTATCACATCTCTCCTTGTAGAGTTAATGTTGATCTTGCCTACCGCAGGAACAGTGTGGCTTGTTTCGCTCTCCGAGGCTTTGGTTACTAGTCAACTAGTGAGTTGGTTGGCAGGTATGTTTTTCTGTTACCCTTTCGTTTACCTTCCCTTCTGCTCTTGTGCTTTATGAGTCCCAATGTGAGCTGGCATCTTGCGACAAGTAACCTGTACTTATGCTATGCTAGATGATATGTCGAAATTGAGCTTGATACGCAAGTAAACCTTCCGTTCACGTTCTAGCACAATGCTTGCTGCCAATGTTCCTTACATCGGAGGGGAGAGTACATAGTAGAGATGTATTAGATATATCTGCTTTGTACATGCACAGTGAATATTATACTCTTGAAAATCTTTCCATTCTATTGATCTGTAGATTAAGTATTGAGCCGCATTGAAATATTCTGGTGCGGTTGCCTGTATCTATAGGGGTAAAGATGGTCAGTATAGCTCTATAAAAATGTTTATAGAAAACATACACTTAGATACACCCACGTAGTAGCATACAGCGCAAGAGAGCCTTAGGACACATTAAACGTGACATTATCATCATCTCATCCACTTGGGGGCGGAGCGCCATTACATAGAACTCGGTAGAAGATTCGACAGAGAAGCAGCGGTAGAGAATACTGACTCATGCATGCAGGGCAGCCTTGACAACGTATCCTTTTTGACTTTGACAGACGGGCTTCACCTAGATTCCATGCATGACAGGTTCCAGATGGGGTGCATTTCAATTGTACAAGTGGGAAGGAAAACACAGGTTGACAATATGTGCCACAACGTTGTATGTGAAAACAGACGTCTACCTAGCTTCAGAAATGACTCCCATATTTGAATATCCAAAAATACCCAACATTTGGAGGGTCTTAGCTTGACTTAATTACCAGTCCGGCAGGCAAGGACCAACAGACATTTCTTTGTCCCGATCATCTTTCGGACATCACATCCAATAATGATTGCTCTCTTCCAGGACTTCGGAAGACGGTAGAGTCTTAGCCACATGCCCAGAAAGATCATCCCAATTTAACTCCAAATCTGACAATATCCTTCGCCACTTGAGAATCGTAATGATTTAAGAGGGCTAATACCTCGGAGAGAGCATTCCTGTCAACAAATGGGGTGGCTGAAAGTACCGCACTCGCCATTTGACTTCTCTGCATCATTTGTCCGAAAGATAAGCTTTTGTACATCAATATGGGAAATCAATCAATTGAGTTTAACAAGCATGAGTACTTTTGTCAGGCAGTGGGTGCCATTGTAATCCCCTTCGCTTAGTGAATCTTGACACCGATATCTTTAACACATACAATATTGTTCTGGCTGGTTCTGCACAAATCTGTGCCAAATGCGCCCACTTAAACTTCTTTCGAACATCTTTCCCAAAACAATTCCCAATCATTAAAAATCTTTCGTCATACACCGTCTCCACATTCAAGGAAAACAATAGAAATGGGCTCGGACATTGGACCAATTTGCTGGCTGGAATGCTCCGAGACCACTCCCTTCCTCATTTACGAGTCAGTCCTACATTTTAACAGCTATGTTCTCTGAAGTTGAAAGGTATCCACTTGTAGGAGGAAGCTACAGCGGTATCTGAAGATGCCAAAAAGATCGTTGAAGAAAATATTTGACTCTTTGAAACGGTGAAAAAGGACAAAGTGAGCGCATCCGTTCACTGATCTCACTCAATTTTAAATATACCTGTTCCGTGATCACAAAGCACCTCGGAAACCGACCTGAAGCAAGGTAAAGAAGTGGAGAGTTTAACGTAGGGATAACGTAAGGGCCTTGCTCGTACACAGCGATATCCAAATCGTACTTTGAAGCGCCCAACATTCCTTATTCTGCGCTACATCTTTCAATGGCACTGAGTAAAAATTGTGCTTCAGTCCTTCAGGGAAGAACATATGAAAATGAAAAAGAGGTCCAGAAATAAAAAGGACATACGTTGTGTAATAATGAATCTCTTCGTTTCCCATAGGCACTGAACTCGAGCTCAATGCTCTCTTGCTTATGTATTCCATGATGTGACATCCTAAAAAGGAGCTCCCGTTACACCCTCTCAGACATTTAATTTCGCCACAGACATTTCCAGTCATCGAAGTGGTCAGTTCTGATGATATAATCATCTGCTGCAAATACTAATACACAGGTGAAAATTTTGTTTTCGGAACCGCATAAGCCAGATATTCCAATGTCTGTTCATTTCACTTCACACCCAACGTTAATTCTGATCCTTCCTATACAGTACCTCAGGTATAAACGAGGAGTTAAAATGTAAAGTGTTCTCCACCACGTATTGGCATCTTCCTTATGCGCGATGTTCAGGTTACTATGCGATATTGAATACAATAATATACCAAGGGGAAAGCTCTCCTATGCCGGGTTCATGAATTGTATTCAATACAGCTTCTCAACAAAGTTAAAGTTTCCAGACCTTCCTCGACTCCTTGGAGGAGTTATGTACATCCCGAAGGCGCACACTATTACATTCTTAAACAAGTCGTGAGTTCCCCTCTTCAAACATGTAGACCCTGAGTCACAGGACTAGCATTGGACGGTTGTTACCGATGTGAATATCCAACACCCACAAACATTAAAAAGCGTCGATAACTTCTTGCAAAGCCTTCTTTCCCTGCTTAACACTCCATGCCATCCCCAGCCAATGTTTCGCACTGAAGATGTTGACCTGGTGCTCGATATTGTTCCTGATGGTTCAGGTACTCAGCTCTGCAAATATTATCTTGCCTACCATCAAAGTAGGGTTATATTTTGGCTTGAAGACATCAAGCCATCGGAAAGGATGTGGTACAACATGAAGGGTGTCACATCGGAGGCTCATATTGGTATTGTTTTTCTTTGTGCTTTACACTTCAAGTATTAAATGACATCCAAGCGTACGCAGTCGAAGCACAGTATTGGTATTTGAGTATCTTTCACATTTGTTGTATCTCATCTGGTCTTATCCCAGGCATCACCGATCTTTGTTCCCTTCGGTCTCATGTACAACACAATATGTTCTAGATGAACTGAGGGATATGATCATCCATGGTATTGGAGGTTAGTACATAAAGCTATATACTTTTGCACAGAAGTAAATGTAGGCCAGATGGTTTGGTTTCCCCAACGTCGACAGCGTCTTATGGGCCAGACGAGTTAAAAACTATGCTGGAACTCTTGCCTTCCAATATTAGTGATATCCCAAAAGCACCTGGACAACATCACATCATGTTTATCTTAATGAAACATTTTTGTAAGCCCACCCATTCACTTTAATACAATACTAATATTCTTCTCACAGGCGAAGAAAAATTCGCCAACTTTCACGGCGAGCCAGCCGTTCGAATGGACCGAGGTGTCTCAATCTATCACCACGAAAAACTCGGGGCAGAATCTCGAATGTTTCGTTTCGTCAGTCTGCTGTTATTTCATGCACCACGAAGACACCGACAGGAGATTGAATTCATGGCATGTGATGGGATTGTCTCATGCCGAGCATGGAAAATTTTCTCTACAGGTGTTCAAAAGACCTGTTCCGACCTTACTGTCTATGTAAGTGGTCCAGGCCACATGTTCTGATAGAACTTAACACTTGCCGAAGTCTACAGTGTTGGTGGCATTAGACATTGGCATCTTCACCATACAGTCCATAGATGCCGGGCCTAATATGTCTTGGATCAAAACATTCCTGTATTTCTCTGTAGTTGCTTCTCTCGGAAGCATCATGTCTGCCTTTTTACTGCAAAGGAAGAACCAAGAAGTCTTGCGAGTATCATACATGGAGGCGGTTTGTCCAATTTGTTATCCACTTTTGCCCATTGACAAACTTATCTTAGTGTCAACTCATGAACAGGTTCCGAGATGCCTCCGGTAGGTTTGACAATATGGCTATAGCACATAGCTTGCCTTTTGCTTGTTTATATTGGGGGTGTGTCATCTACATTTGAATACTGATTGACCTAACTTGACTGCCTGTAGGACTGTATTCTTTATAGGAGCGTTTCTGATTTTTGGACTTTACCCTGGCCCACAGGTCAATAGGGTCCTGTTCAGTTTCGCTTGGGGAATTTTGGGGCTGTTGTTGTTCTACTTCCGCTGGTGGACCTCACGCAAAAGCCGCACAAGATCTGTGGAATTGGTTTGACCTAGATAAAATTAGTCTGATAGGGGGGAATTACACGAAAATGGATATGTTCGCAAGAGTGCAGCAGGCGTAAATAATAGACACATTACCAGACGTATCATCACAATATGACCATAGCTGAAAAATAGCACACCCACATCCGTTTGCCTTCACTTGTAAAGGATTTCCAACATGAGAGTCTGTCAAGGTCCACGGTGTAAGATCTCCAGAATCCGCATCGACGATTGCTGTAACAGAAAGCATTAGAAACTAAATTGGTCTACAGGTGCCCCAAAGACATACTACATGTAATATTGGGAGGGTCTGGCAGTGCTCACATGTAAAAGATCAGATAGAAGTCCTTGGACTGCTGTCTGCTTATTCTGTAAAACTGTAAGGTTGGGCGCCGACAAGTTGTTGAGGGATGCTTTAGATGAGGAAGCCTGTTTGTTGCGAGCAGTGAGGTTTGACAGATAGATGCCAGTTTCCCTGTGTTCAGCTCAATGCCACGGCTGCCTATGACACCCATAACAGCAGACAATGTGGGTAGCAATTGTCTAGCGTTTCTTCTCAAAGACGCATTAGGAGAGTCAAAGTCGGCGACAATGATGTCATACTACAGCCGAATGCGGATTAAAGGCTCTTTTAAATGCCGACCGTGAAAGTGTAAGTTGAACTTTTACTATTGCCACTGAGTGATCTCTAATGTCGCAATGTGATGCAAATTTTTCTCCACTCACAGGAGGAAAGCTTAGCAAGACCCCCTACCAAATGCTTCAGAGGTCGGCGGCAGGCTCAACATGGAAAACACAAGATATTTATTAATGATTCAATATGTAGCAATCTTTAGGCATGAAGACATATTTTTTTCAACCAGGACCACCCATTTGTCCTCACAGAGCGAACTTTATGTCACTCACCACATGCACATCTTGGTTGACAAATTGATCAGAGGAAGAATTTGAGGCCAGAATATCAACTTACCAACTTCCACTGACTGTTCCTGTACCAAAAAGTTCTCCTTGTAAGTAGCAAGCTTTCCCTCCGACGCTCGTCAATCTTGAAGAAGTTTGGGTTGATGTTCAAGAAAATTGGCAAGCATTCCCTGACGGTCAGTTCAAACATGGAGGCTGTCAAGCCAAATGCCCTCCTGCCCTCTAGGATGAGTGAATGAGCAAATTGAACAGCAGATGTTCTGGCAAAGTCAGCAATGTCCAACTGCCTGACCGCAGACAACGGGTGCAAATTGACAAAGGTATGTTCGTCGAGGAGAAGTAAACAGTGATGGTCCCTTAGCCGCTGGATGATGGAAAGATAGGCCCTGATTGCCTTACGGGTGACTGTGACCTCCTCATTGTGCTTGAAAGGGCCAGAATTGAAGGCAGGGAGAAATAAACAAAAGTTTCCCAATGCAATAAAATTCAGCATGCCACGATTATTTAGCCCCGGGAAGTGGGAGTCTTTGCCTGTGAAATGTTAGGCCAAAAAGGAGAGTCACCATATTTTTACTTACATTCGGGCCCTTCATCACCAACCAGAACACCAAAGTAAATCATCATCTGAAGGAGAATGTGCTGTAGTTCGAAGAATGGAAGACCTCCCATGTCTCCAAACATACAGGTATGAACCCAGCCCCAGACAGTTCTTGATAATGTGACCATGGAGTAGAAATGGTGACCTTTTACGATGGAGTTCTCCAGGGTAACCACTGCGTGATGAGTGTTGGGACGCATGTAGCTGCATCTGTGTCAGCACATTTCAAGAGAGATAAGGCATGACATACAACACAGAACCTGGTTCAAGCAGGACAATCTCTGCAGTCCAGAATTTGGCGTCCGGAATAAATCCAGGTTCCCATTCACCCTGGACCTCAACTTCTTGGGGCTCTCGATGTCGGAAAACATACCACATCTGGCACCCACAAAGGACTTCGATGACAGTAGCGACACCAAGACTGTCTGTCCCAACCTTGGTGGTAGCCCCTTTCCTTGCCACAAACCAGAAGCTCGTCGCCGAGGCCAGATATTCCCTTTTATAAATTTCATTGGCCGGATCGGACGTATTGTCAAAGGCATGGATGTGGCTCAACAAGATACTAATGAAGTTAAAGTGCACTAGAAAAACCTTAGGAAAAAATGCCAGCTTACGAATGTAAAGGGTGGTTGATGGGAGAATCATGACCAGGCAGAGAGAGAAAGTTGAAAATGCGACCCCCTTCTTCAATCCCTCCATCATAGAGACATCTTGATAGTCATACTGCTCTCACGTGAGCGTCAATGCCCTACAGTCCACATTAGGATACATTTTTCGATGAAAAAGAAAACCCACACCTTCCAAGACGTGAACTTGGTCAATATCACCGATTTCTGATAGAGACCTCAAAGACCAATCCAGTGGATAGGCCCAAGTATCATATAGGTGAAAGTTAGCGTTCTTAAAAGCCATCATTGTCTGAGAAGGATTTTCGAATGCCTCGTTGAATTTCATCGACAGGATGACTGGATCCAGCCAGGTTGGGATCCTGTAGCAAGCTTCGAAAAGTGCAAGCTTTCCTTGCTCTTCAGGCTAGATTTTAATCAGGCAATGAGACAAGAAAGTGGTCGGTTAACCTACATTGGACACAAGCGGAAAGTATTCAAAGGTGACACAGGAATTTGTTCGAGGAACCCAAACCTCTGGTAAGAGGATTCCGGTTGGAGAAAAGGAGAAACATGGATCAAATTTCGCTTTCTTCAACACATTGTGCATAGAGGAAGAGGTCTCAGACCGAGACCACTTCCTTTCTGGGAGACGGCAGAAATCACCTTGTTGACCGGACACTAGGAGGTTTGGGTCTATTGAAGGCAGACTTTGCCAGCCCCCACGAATGTCTGGTACATGAATGCTTGTTAACAGGTTGACATCGATGATTGGGAGCTGGTAGACAGGGCAACTTATTTGTTGCCATTCCAGTTGGAATGCGCAGGTTGGATATTTCTTCCGACCCCATTGCGTCACTTGATCACTCAGGAGCTGGCACATCTTCAAAATTGAGTCAGGCGGGAATGCTGGCCTTCCAGGCGAATATTGGGAAGAGGAGACTTCAACCAGACTTTCTGCCGAGGCTTTAACTGTTGGGGAGGACAAGAGTTGCCCCTTCCCCGTTGTAAAGGCTCCTCCTTGCGACCACCCTTTTCAATCCAATGAGCTCTGCTGTTCTTGAGCCATTCCCTGGTTTCGGCCTTTTTTGCTGCTCCATAACCCGCTGTTCCAAGAAAATATGTCAGAAGCATGAATAAAGCAAGTTTTCCACGTGTCTGCCTGCTGTGGACTTGAAGAAGACACTCACTAAGGTTGGCTGCATTCACAGAGTGGTGTAGTTCTTGTAACATGCTGGTTAGTGAAAAGAAATGATCACCATGGGAATGGACGATTCAAAGTTGCGGAGTCAGCCACAAGAGTTTCTCATGTTTCCCACAAAATGATGTGCATCCCTAATCTTGATTCTTCCGAAATAAGTTTTCTCCCAATCTACAAGATGCCTTTCACCCTGAATCTTAGTACCTCCCTTGGGAGTCTGAGACCATGTTCCATTCCAGTTCCGCCGTTTTGGAGTCAAGTGCGATTCCACAGATGCTAGGCAGCCATCCTTCACCAGTGTTTCAATGTTAGCTCTCATTCATTATTTGTATACACTCTACACACTTGGCCTACCTTTGCATTCAATTATTCTGTGCCGCTAATCAGCCTCCTCTTTTCACTTTTCATTTTCATTTCAATCGGCGTGCAAAACATTTCCTGCTATTCCCACTGTCACACCGGACAAATGAGAACTTGAGGGAAACCTGAATGCGCATGATAAGGTAATGTTTTCGGAGGTCAATCTTGGCAGAAATTTTACATAAAATTTGCGTAGTCCCATCTCTAGTGGACGGCATGTGATTTAGATCCTCCAAAATGCGAAGTTCGTCTTCCCAGTATGTCTCACTTCTTTCCTCGTCTTTTAGATATAAAGAACTTTCTAGTTTTCATTGAAACAACCGGCACCGATCGATGCAAATATGTTAAAACTAGCAGCATATATCCAAACCTTTACTGCTTATAAAAAGGTGGAACTTGAGCTTGCTTTGATCCCGTCCTCGATGGCCGAATGTATTTGGAATGGAGCATCGGGCTCAATGACCTTCTTAGTCATTATGATCTATTTTTAGTACATCAAAGTTGGCTAATCACTGGGTGATAAATCGCCCCCTTGTGTAAGGAAGATGACGAGTGTGTTGAGGGTTACATGACGGTTATAAGTCTGGCTGTGTCGAACATTGAACATCGTGATCTGTTTGCGCATACCGACTGCACATAGAATTAAATTTTGGGGCCACAATATCATCCTGAATCTTGATATGTCTGACAAAAATTTTCTCACAATCTACCAGATGACTTTTGCCCGTCATATTAGTACCCTCCTGCTTCCTATGATGTCTTCTTCCATCCCAGTTTTTCATGTGGGTGTCTAGTGGAAATCTAAAGACTTTTTCCAGCCATGCCAGTGGTTCAACGTTAGTTCTCGTTCATGATTTATATCCACTCTACACGCTTCGCCTACCAATGCATTCAATTATTCTACTTGTTAATCAACCTCCTCGTTGGCTTTCTATTTTAATTTCAATCACCTTGTAAAAAAATTCTGTCTATTCCTTGTGGTATAAGATATAGCGACCTTTCTAGTGTTCCCTGTAATAACCCGCACCGGCGGACAAATATACTACTCGTATGATAACACAAACTGCCCCAAGTGGACACAATCAGTATATATTTGAAAAGCTTTACTCTTTATAAAATGGCTGAACTTTACGCTTGTGTTGATCCCGTCCTCGATGGCTGAACGTATTTGGAATGGAGCATCTGCCTCGATGACTTGCTTAGTCATCGGATATTATTCTTAATACATCGAAGTGATCTATATATACAAGTGCCTGCCGCATGCCGGGGCATGTGGGACCTTGCTGGTTTTGTGAAATCTGCTTATCCATGGACAATACACTTGTATCTACAAAGTGTAAGGTTTTTCGTGCATTTCTTTCGTTCAGATGACTGAGATGGGTTACCTGAAATTGGCAGACGAATTTTGTGGAAGCACTTAAATGAACAGCAAAACATGCTCCGCTGCCAGCTCGCATTTTGCCCCTGAGGATAGAAGAACCGAGCAAGCCAGGCTACATCAGGATGTTCGAATGTCAAGGATATCTACAGGTTGGTTTCAGCATTTCGGCAAGATAGAGAACACACGAGGGCAACCCGTCGACGCCTTGATTGACGCTTCAGAGACCGCAGTTGAAGTCTCATCCTGTGTGGTTCATGTCTTGGTCTCCGCTCGCTTCTCCTGAATAGCCTTGTCTTGTTGAGAGACTGTAACAGGATTCCGAATCACAGTGTCAACGTCTTTACGAATGGATGTGTTTAGAAGCAAAATGGAGGTCATGACTGCCAAGAACGGTATGATGGCATTTGAGAACAAGTGCCTGCTGCGTGCCAAGGCGAGTACGACCTTGCTGAATCTTGTCCTTGAACCCTATTGCTGTCTCTTTCGAGTTGACCTTTTCATTGGCAATGCTCCTGACTCAAAACATGTAAGGAAACACTGAAAGCGACGATTCCTCGTTGGGTTGATCTACGTAAGTCATACCAATATGTTACAAAGTGTTTGCATGGCACGTCTGCTTCTTTGAACACCGATATACCAGTCGTATACCTCACAGATCATTTGTACATTGAAAAATCCACACTGCATAGTGCCAAACCATCTCTAATAAGAGTCCCCGAACTCAGACCCATAATCTATTCCAAAATTCCGACCGGTGTCATGACGCCGTGTGCTCATTCGCCAGATGTCGATACATCATGTCCATGCAAAAGTCGTCATCCAGGGAGAGGCTGGGGTGCGAGGTGTACAATAACAGCTAGATGCAAAGGATCTCAATCAGTAACGAAGACAGTCGACATCGTGCGACATGCGTACTATGTCCAGTTTACCCTAGCCCTATACTCCTTGTATCCCCAGCAATACCCCGATGCCATGCTCTCGCTTGCCGGACGTCGATACATGGCGTCTAGGTAAAACCAGTCCCTCCTAAGACTACCTGCCATCCCTACCCTATGCGAAGTTTCGCCATGGGTGTGTTCACCGGTTTTGAATACATTGTCTAGGCACAGACGTCTTGCTTGCCGGAAGACGATCCATTGTCTCCAGCCAAAACTCGGACACCTACACACCAGGATGGGGTGGGGTCATATTTCATGCAGTCTCCAGGCATACTCACTCCCTCCTCGCACCAGACAGGAGGCAACGTCCTCTTCTACTTTCCAACAACGCATGTTACTAGCCATTGAAAGACCAGCGCAGCGGGAACAGGTAGATGTCGTTGAGTGGTAGGGGATGACGCAATATCGGAAGGGAATGTCCGACTGAAGGAGGGTCGTGGGGATGGGTCGTTGGGTTGGGGTTGATGTCGATTTGTCATGGTGTGGTGGATACATGGCAAGTGGGAGGAGAGAATAGCAGAATCTAGTGAACAGATAAGGATCAATGGCGTAGAGCACTAACAGATGTACTCACCAGTATCATATTGGACTGCGTGCATCATGCGCAAACCTGAATATAATATATCGATGGCGGCTGAAAGCTTCATCGGGACCATGAACAGTAGATGGGCAAGCTCATTCCCATATAGGCTTATGAGATAGGTGGTCCAGGCGATCACACCTAGCTCCATGGTCCTGGTCATCCTTGGCTATTCCCTCTGCCAGAAAAGCATTCAGTTTCCACTCTGCCTCGCCTTTTCCTGTATTTTCCCCCTGGATGAGCTCCTTTAGTACCTCGACTATCACCTTGTGGTCCTTTTACAAGCTTGTACCAATCCTCGTCTTGCGGGCTGATATACGTGATAATGATCTTGTTGGGTACAATGTTCTCGTGTATTGAGCATGGGATGCCAAAGGGAGACTTTCCCTCTGCAAGTGTCCAGAGACGAAGTTAGAAAGTGTGCTTCTTGTTGATGGCAAGAAGGACAGATGCAGTGTTAATTGTGCTAGGACAGCACAGCGAGTAGTACTAGTCCTCGTAAGTGGAACAGACTATAAAGTGCGACGCATGAGCATCAGCAAAGGGAAAATACAGAGAAGGTATTAGTCGCTCACGATCCAATTCTTAAGCAATTCCCCAGATGTTCAGGTTCAAACGTTCAATATTCAATGTGCGAGGCGACTTTTTGAAGCTAGTGCTGCAGGTGCGATAGAGTCGAGATGGTAAACAGCTGAGTACTGAGTACTGAGTCTTGACATGCTGCACGGCTACGTTGTATTTGTTTGGTTTTGGCAGATGCGAGAGTAGGAAGAGGACTGCTGGATTGAGCACAGCCACCTATTTGTACTTAATTGCTTTTGGCAGACGACGGAAAAGGAAAATTTATGACTGTGGGTTGACCTTGCTTTTCAGCAAGGTAATGAGGTCCTCATGGTTCGGAAAAGCTCTAAATGGCAGTCGCATGCACCATGTGATTCAAGCAACACTGATGCATCATCAGTTCCGTTTTGAAGTGCGATTCTGCGAAAACCTGCGTGGAGTTCTATTATCCATATAAGATATCCCATGGACCTTTCACGCGTCTGGCGCATCTGTCTTACCACACCGCTGTTCCTCTGCTTTGTAGAGCACTGATAAGATACTCATGGAGATAACAGAGCACTTTGAGATTATTCTCCTTGGGAAAGATCCCATCTTGCTCTGCTATCGCATACTTGTATTCAAGTAATTCATAAATTTGTCATTTACGGAGTCAGTTATGCGATTATGGGCCGATTATGCCTTCAACCATGCGCTGGACTTCTTCAGAAGCCCTGTCCGCCATGAAACCAATTCATTCAGTGTCGGTCATGGGCGTTGTAATCAAGTCCATAATTGAATACATAACCGATCCAGAATTGACCCATAATCACACATCTGACCCTCCCTATTGCTACGGTTGTATCTGTAACAGTATGGTGCACATTCCTAAGCTGCATATGACTATAATTTATCATCCCTAAGTCTAATATCATTGAGATAAGTATGGATGATCTGAATGAAGCAATTGATACCCACATCTCGACTCCAGATATTTCTTGTTGCTGTAAAACTGAACTTATGGATATGACTACTTATAATGGGTTTAAAACTTGTTTTATGCAAGTCTAATTGCTGCGAGAGCACAGAATAAGGACTTACCCTGTACTTGGCTTGAAGGACCGGGATCCTTGCATAATCAAATATTCGCTACCTGGAAGTGTTGGAAAATGGGGTATCGGTCCGTTCCCAGTGTTACATGTGCGGTAGCAAGCCAATAGTATTGCGCTTGGCTGAGCTCTGCAAATGCATGAGGATCTACTCTACAGTACCTACTTTTATACTAAATACTATTTTACTAGAACTTTCCATGCTTTTCCTACTACTTCTACCTTAATAAGCAACTTCGGCATGATGCCGGGTTGCCAAATCCCAACAGGAAGTCACGGTTCAGAGCATCGGCAGCACCAGAGGTTTAACGCATCCTGCTTCCATGGGATTCACACTGACATGATCAGCTACCCCTTTTCATCATATTTATAAGACCCTGGGGAGAACGGAGCTTCTGTTTCATTGCTCTTACACTCTCCCCAGAGAGATTACCATAACTCATACAAGTAGGAGAATTCTAATAAAATAATCAAAATGCTTTGCCTTCAACTTAGAGGTCCAACCAATATCCCAAGTAAAAAGCCAGGTTTGGGGTGGGCCTCAACAAGCCAGAGACCTGTGTCATAGTCGGGTTGCCGGGACCCTCGTACCTTGGGTCTGGCAATCGTGATGAAAACACAGGTTCCGTGTACTCAAGAACAGTCTGGACCCTTATGCATCTGTAAGGAAAAGGCAGGATTTATTGAAAAGTCGAACTCGGTGTATACCCGGCCTGATTGCCTACTACGTTTACAGCGCTTACACCTTTGAAGCCTTTTGACCACAATGACGACTGCTACTTAAGCTTCATCTATTCTCAAATTCCTGATATCACATTATTGGCATGGTAACATATTTGCAGCGACTGTTACATATACAAAAGATATTTGCGTGAAGATAACTACACTAGAATTCCAAATGTGTAAAAACTAAAGATGAACTAATGGTGCTTTCCCTTCTTCTTCACCTGCTCTTCACTTCCATCACTCCTGTGAACATCCCCATCATGCAATCCCTGTCGTTTGCAGGTGATTTTTAACTCGTTACCAGGCATACCATCTTTCTTGAAATGCTCGAAAACCGAATTGAAGTATCCGGTCATTTGGTATCCCTTTTTGAGATCGGACCAGAGGCTGTCAGCAGATATAACCATTTTTGTTCTATCAGGTACATGCTTCAAAAAATCGGGTGGGATTACGAGGTCTTCTTTGGAACTGTGGTGATTGTCATCAATCTGGAGGCCAGAAATAAACAATTGGACAGCACAGGAGCAACAAAAAATCTTACAATCCAATTACTGGCCAAGGAGCACTCATAAAAATGCCTTTTGCCTTTTACTTCTGCACAGACCATTTGGAACAACTTGTCTTCCTTGTGCCTCTCTGAAATAGGATACAATTTCCCGTCCTGGTTGACATAGATTTCACCGGCGCTAAATGGCTCCGCTTCTTCAGGAAAGAAGTTGCCTTCTCCTGAGAAATAATACACGAAGATCTCGACACTGATGAGCCTTTCGTCATTGTACTTCAACTTGATGGCTATGCCCATCAGTGCTCTGCCGTGTGTGCCGAACATGAGTCTAAGGATATCCTTTTTGACTCTGGGTTTCGACTCGGAGTAAGCAACCTCGAATACGACTACCGGCCAGTTGTAATCGATTGGAAGATTTTTGGGTCCTCCCAATTCAGTCCCCGGTCAAATATGAGAATATCTGGCCCTTTCCAATGGCCTTCAGAGAGAGGGATATGAGTGCCAGCTAGGATCCTCAATCCGATGGTGGCATGCCAGTTAGCATGTAATGCTGCTGCAATAGTATCTAGTGTGGAATCGTGGGTGACACAAGGAATTGTAACAATTACTTTGTCTTTGAGAAATTCCCAGCTAACTAAAATGTGAGGTCCTCCATAAAATAAAATGGCAAAGGTACTTACCAACCATGAACTGCTTCAGATACATTCTCAAAGTTTTCCTCCATCCGTGACTGACTTTCGGAGTCAAGAACTTTCTCATACACTTCACCAGGAAGACAATCATCCAGACCCTTCAGCCAGCCTCGTAGCTCGAGAGGAGCATCATGAAATGGCGATGGGGGGAGGGGAGGCTTCAGCAGCCTTTGGAACAAGAGTGAGGTCTCGTAGGTTCTGTTTCATATCAGTCATGCCTTTTGTGATGTCAGCTGGCTGCGATTTGGAAGCCCCCCTTTTCAAAACCTCTGGGCGTGCAGGGGTTGCTTGCAAGGTAAAAGTGCTTGATCCATAATAGTGAGCATCCGCACCAATAACAGATGTCATTTTGCGGGCTGGTGGAAGTATGGAAAAGAGATTGTTATCAGATGTTGCCACATCTTTGTGATCTATCTGACATCATTGCCCACATGACTGTCATTCTGTTCTAATTTTGGAGTTCTATAGAAGGGCAAAGAACGTGGAGAAACATATGGAGCATACACAGGTAGAAGAGGAGGGGTTAAAGTGAAGGGAGAAAATGATTTGATGCAACTAGAAACGGTATTATGTTAATTGTGAACTCCCTACATATGTTCACTTTATAGTATTGAGCTCCTCTACTAATTCTTAACTGTTCCAAAACTAAAGCATTCAATATGCGCAGAAGATCCTTTAGTAGTTTTTCAGACAACATTATATAAACCCTCACCATATTTAAAATTGAATACTTTCTTTGTATTCATTGGAAGAAATGTGTCATTTTTTGGGCCAGTAATAGTGTACATCGTGCAATTAATAAGCTTGATTGAGTTCATACACCTAACTTCAATACTTTGCACCCATTAGGCCATTGCACAGACCTGCATTTTATTATGGAAATTCAGTCATACATCACACTGATATCAAAAATGTGGAAGATGTTAAAATTTGTGTGACAACTCAGATAGGATATACTTCAACGTGCTTTTTCGTTTGGCTTTCGTCATCTGGTACAGTCTATTGAACACCACTACTTCTTTGTACATTTCAATATAACTTCTTATTTCACTCTCAAACAACCTCAATTTTATTTTTGATGGAATACCATATAGGTTATCATATGGCTAACAAAAATCAAGGTAAGAGTCCATGTATCAGTCAGGAAGAAATCAATAGTGAAGAGTATGAATTTTGGCAAAACACCAATATAGGTTTAGAGAAAGGGTGAAGGCAGTGGGGTGCATATATTAACGCTTAAAATTGATTTTCAAGTTAAAAGGATGAAATTGTCCTGCGGGGCCATGGGTCAAAGATCAGTTGCTGTGGTGTTATAGGTGAAACGACTGGTCAGAGCTGTGAGAAAATCATCCAAACCAGGAAACCATGGCCCAAATTTGGTGCATGGGATCCAGTGTACAAAAGTCCCGGTAGCTGGTAATTTGGGACTTTGGACAAAAAATTTCACCACACCATCAAATCACCATTGAATCACCTCAAAATTATAATATATACTCTTGAGCATATGCTAAATAATGTGAATTGCTTTATAGAATGAAAGAATTCTGAGGGAAGCTTAAAAATGTTGCAGAAATTTGCCTGTACAATAGACCGGGTGATGACTGTACTTACCGAACCGGAATTATGTAAAGACTGATCGCCATCATTGAATCTCCCATTATAGCGCTTTTCATAATTATGTGGAATTCCAGTTCTGAAAAAGTTATGTGGTTGTATTTGGATCGCAGGGCCCCGGCCTTCTCTCTTTCCACCACTACCATGCCCCGAAACAGTACCATCTGTTCTGCGATGCCCTTGTCAGGTTTCTAAAGGTGTAGAAGATATTTATCAGCTGTACCCAACTCCTGTGGCATATCATATGGTTGCGATGTACTATGCAGGCAGGAGCGAGACAAACCTTGAGAACCAACATTCAACATCTGAGTCTTCAACTCCTGGATTCGGTCCATTTAATGTTTGCCTCATAGACTGCAGTGACATTCTTTTGCAAGATAGGCTGATATGCCATGCTGAGGTGCTGACATGCATCCATTGTCGGACTCTGCATCTCCACAGCGGTATTGATATCAGTCTGTCAGACCATGACTGTCTTCACTCCTGGCAATTCTTTATATTGCAAGTCTGTAATTTGACCATACTATGTCGGCATATATATTCCAGTGGTAATTATCCCCAGAAAACAAATGATATAAGATCAATATAGGATATAAATGCGCGTTCTGAATGCAAGACGATAAAATTGCCTCAAAGCTGAGTGCTGATCATGAGTGCTTCTCTTACCAGGCCGACATGGGGTGTAAATAGGACCACACAGATTTTTCAAAACAGGGATTCCGCATATTTATGAAAACTGCTGTAACCCTATCCTATGCTGGCAATTATCTCAGAAGACCTACGGATGTCGGCAGTGCACCGACCTTCCATCCTTTTGAGAGAGCTATCACGCTTCCTGGATACCCATACAGCAGATAGTACATTGTAATGCCTAAGACAAACTCTCGACTCCCCTGTGGGAGCAAGGTAACAAAACATTTCTTTCAAGTTAAGACCAATAAGTATTACGGGACCGGCGACATGGTAACAAGGATACCTAGAACATAAAATATCCGATTTGCCGATGGTGTTACTAGGATATGGAGTAATGTCTATTTTCATCGATGGCAGAACCAGCATTTTACCTTCGCCAAACGACGAAGAGGACGTCGAGCAGTTCCACCACTACAACCAAGTTCCATCTTTACAATCGAAGATATGTTTACAGGCCCGAGTGACATGCAGCGGAGAGGAAGGAATGATTATCGCAAGGGTGAGGAAAGCCGATAAGAAACCCGAGTCACTTAGGCATTTCATCGTCTACAGCTCGGAGGAAACTCGGAGGTTTGGACATCATTATGTAATGATTCAAGATCAATCATAGCTTTCCCACTGCAACCGTGAAGGAAATCACACTCAGAAACAGAAAAATTTCACACAACTGAGCACATCTGATAGGGAAACTTTCACCTTCGGCTAAGACCACAATCACCAAACATCAACCAATATACTGAGACATCACATACAATCACACCGTTTCACATAGAACAATTCACAATGTTTTGACAAGGTATTTATACTTTTGTTCATTAAAGACACTCAGAGTCCAGGCCTGTATTCTGAGCCAGCATTAGAATCTCTCTCTGATGTCGATTCTGACTTGTCCTTGAATCATCATCATCCCCGGTCATATCCATGCCACTTGAATCCCATCATTTATGTTTGAAACATTGGTTGGGGGGTAGTCTTCTTCGTCCTTAGGGTCCCTCTTCTTCACCATCAGACAATCATAGTCGACGGTTTCCGACCAATCCTCCAGGGCATCAGATTCTATGCAACAGGTCAGACCCAGTCAGGATAGGAAACCACCCTCACGTACGTAGGACTTCAGCCATTTTGGGCCGAACCAAAAATATTGGCCTAAGGAGCAAAACCTTCATCTTCCGGCGTTGTTAAGCCTTGAGGAACTCAGATGATAGCTCCATCTGCAAATAGGTTCCATGGCATCCTTAATATCTTGCTGAAACATCTCAGTATCGAACAAGACCGATTCATGTTGTCCTAAAGCCCTCTGTGCTTGCAAAGCCGTCTCAGCGTAAAGAATCAAGATCGCCTGAAATGAGCAGCAGAGCTCCTAGCAAAATCAGCGATATCCAGGGACCCAACACTCAGGTGACCCGGTCATTGACACGCAATCATTGATTCCGGGGACTGCACAGCAACATCTTTGTCATCATCGAGAAAAAACCAGACAATATTTCATCTGCAAACACTGTATTGTGGATATGTATGCGCCGGCTGCCATGGCAATTGCAGGTTTCGATTCTCCCTCGGTCTCAGTGACACAGGCGTACAAGGCAGGTGCAAATAGACAGAGATTTCCTAACGCAATGAAGTCAAGAGGTCCATCTCTTGTCATGGTGGGAATATCTGTGTCATGATCTTGATACCATTTATCAGGACCAGAAGGACAGTCACTGCGAGATTTTTACTTACTTTCAGGTCCTTGATCACTGATCACTGCACCAAAGTAGCACATCATACGAAGGAGAACCTCCTGGAGCTCAACATGCAAAATGTTTGTAATAGTATAACCGAGCATACAGGTATGAACCCAGCCCAAGACAGTTTTCGAGAGTGTGACCGTGGAGTAGAAATGGTGACCTTTTACGATGGAATTCTCCAGGGTCACCACTGCATGGTGAGTGTTGGGATGCATGTAGCTGCATCTGTGTTAGCGCATTTCAAGACAGATAGGGCATGATGACGTACAAGGCAGAACCAGGTTCAAGCAAGACAACCTCTGCAGTCCATTCCTCTGGATCTGGAATAAATCCAGGTGCCCAATCATTAATGTACTCATCGATACGGCTGTCCTGTCTATTATTACATCCACCATGCTTAAACACGTACCACAACTTCCGCCTGCAAAGAACCTCAATGATGGTACCGACACCAAAACAATCTGGATGAATGTAACTAATGGCTCCTTTCTGGCAACCAACCAGAAACTTGTCACCGAGACAGGATACTCCGCTGTATAGATGTCCTCAGGTAGGTCAGACGTCTGTTCGAATGCTCGTATGTGACTCAAACAATCCTAAAAGACATCACCATTTTAGCAAACACGAGATAAATTGTGCCTTACGACTGTAAAGGTGACCGCTGTATGAAGTGCTGCAAGGTAGAGACAAAGCGTTCAAGATGCGACCATCCTCCAAAAGGCCTTCTTCATACATTTCACGTAAGGAAACAGAGACGTGAAGTTGCTCCATCGTGTCGTTGGAGCTGCGCCGGTGATGGTCTGGGGTAGTGCAGCGTATTAAAAGACCATTTCATAATGAAGGAAGAAAACAGAAGAAACCTTGGACTTCTTGAAGAATATCAATGTTGCCAATCTCAGAAAGGGA